AGATGCTAATGTATAAGTACATCTGAAATTTCGGTGCTTTGTGAAGATCTCCCATCTGGTTTTTGCGGACCTTCTTGTCCAAAACGGCATGAATTAAAGCCGCACCTCTGCTGCTTGGGTTTGAACCAGTGCTTTCGTGCGAATTAATCTGTTTGCGGTCGTAGCTAAGCCCTAAAGCTTTGCTGCTATAACAGCGTGCGATAAGGTGAAGCATTTTAAAAATATGAAGGGGTTATTGTAACAGCACAGTGCTTCTCTGTGTTGCAACACAACCACAACCGAGTTTAAAAGGCAGCTTCACCGCAATGCGAAAATATCATGGGGTGAAACACATTTATGTTATTTTTGTCTGGTAGTTCCAACAGCGGAATTCCAGTGTGAATCAAATAGCGAACACTATTCGAAAAACAAACATGATTGATCCCTCTATCATAGGAATCAGTATAACACGAAAGTAAAACGTGGATGCACCCATGTTGACGCTTCGTGGTACATTTCCATCATGACTAGCATTCACTATAAATGATTAAACAAACCATTGTGATAGCTGCAGTAGTAAGTGGTTAGTGCACGAAATAAAGTGTTCTGATTTTCAGTCATAAAAAGTGTGTCTGGTTGGAAGCAGAATTCCGGAATGTCACCATCCGGTGGCCTGTTTAAAAGAGTTAGTCGCACGACCAAATAGAAACGCAACGAGTATTGGCCTGTTTAAAAGAGTTAGTCGCAGGACCAAATAGAAATGCAACGCGCATTTTATGTCCTGTGTAGCCCGGCTGCGATTTTCTTGGTCAAAGTGCAAATGTGGACATGTATTTCAGTTCGCAGAGGAGTTTTTGTAATGGATAGATGCTATGAACGAGGCTGATGCTTGAGGTGCATGTGGCAATATTTCCACCTTGCATTGTGCTGAGGCATTCATAAATTTGCACTTTCCTTTTGGAAACCTACCAAATTGCACGGACTCGTATCAACGACGCATTGTAGGAGCTAATCGCAGCAGGCCACGGTCATAATTAATTACTTTACCGCTGACCAAAATGCTGTGACAGGAAATACGAGATATACAAAACGTGTTTGTATAGCAATTGAAGTCTGGAGTCTGGCTGCGGTGCAGTGAATAGCACACTCAGCATCTGTTGCTGCCGACCGAAAGGTCGATGGTTCAATACCCATTGACGCACATTTTTCCTTCGACATCTGATCATGTACATTTTTTTTTGACGTCATTTCTGTCACGAAAATGCATGACACTGACGTTTAGTGGAGCCCAGCATAAAACTTTAAGGTCAATATTCGAAGGTTTGAATATTTACACAACCCTATATTTATTCCACGCTACCCAATGGTATTTTTTGACTGATTGTATAGTGGTATTGGCATACAGAACAGAAACAGAAAAAGATAGTTTCCTGGCAAACTCAAACTATTGCATAGTGAAATTGGCAAATGCAAGAACAGAAATAGAATGGCACAGCTTTTCAGCGAATGTATCGCCCAATTGTCAAGCGGCATACTAGCACATAAAGAACAGAATGGAATATATGGAACAGAAACAGAATTGGATAGTTTTCAGGTGAATGTTTTTGCCTATTGCCAAGTGGTACAGGCAGATACGAAACAGAACAGAATAATTTTTTGGCAAATGTTTAGAACTACTGCCTAGTGGTATTGACCCAGGTGGAACACTAACAGAACGGAATACTTTTCTGGCAAATGTTTTGACCAAGTGCCTAGGTGTGATGGCACATGTGGAACAGAAACAAATGCCGAGTGGTATTAGCGGATACGGGGCAGAAACAGGATGGGATAGTTTTCTGGTGACTGTCACAGCGAGCACGATTACAAACAGTATTCCTCTGCATGCAGCAAGAAACCAGGCAAATCTTGCAAGCAAGTTGCTTTAAAATTCCAACTCCTGAAGGTGAAAATTCTGACAGATTTCAAGCACTGTGGGAATGTTTTATGTGGAGCATGCCTAAGCAGAACTTTTTTGGCTTGGAGAAGTTTTTGATAAACTGACTAGTAGTGTACATATTGTGAGCTTACCAGGCAAACCAACTGTACTGGCACTGGGGTAGCTTGGGGTCCAATGTAATGTTGGCACTCACATTACAGCCTAGACATCACTGTTATCGGAACGAAGAGTCGTCGGTGTATTCCTGAAGGAACAAGCAACACTACACTGTAGCTGGCCAAGTTGCAGGAGTACATAAAAAGTGTTTATATTAGAGTGGCATAAAGCAAATTGCCAACACTGTAACAATGATTTGAGATCAGACAAGCACCAGAACTATAACTGGTGCTAGGCAACTGGCTACATAACTGCTTATGTATTAATATGTATTCATTGTGGCATGTCTGTGAGGATAAGATAATCAGCCGTAACAAACGGTAGGTATGTCTCCTGTTTGACCTATGCAATGTGCTAGACTTACAATTCATTGTAGCCAGGTTAGACTGTGAATCATGTGCCACACACCCATACACCGCGGGCTGTTGTATGCGAGAAAGGGTTTCATGACATAACGACCAGGTATGTCAGATTATTTACACTGACCTGTCAATCATGTCCTTCACACTCATGTCGTCCTATGCCAATTTGGATACATATATAGCTAAGGAGAGAACTACGACAGCACTCAAATATAGGTGACAAGATAGGAGTGCTTTTGATTCAGATAGAAATGCTTCGCACTTAAGAAGAATGCGTATCACCCTTGTTTGAATATTCAAATGTGTCTGAATATTAACCTCTAACTGCACTTACAGCCATGGCAAAATATTAAGAATTCAGATGAGAAGCATACTCGACATGCTTCTCTGTGAAGTGTGCCAATCCAAACAAGATGGCAGGGAGGAATTCTAAGAAAAAATTTAACAGAAGACGTTACTTGGAGGGCATATATATAGATAAATAGCTTTTTATTTATATGTACAGCATATACAAAAGGCCTTGTGTGTCAGTGTTACCAAAGTGTTGTATGTTACACACCAAACTTCAAAACAATGCTCATGGCAGGAACAGCAAATGAGAAATACCCAGAAACCTCTTTTTTTTTAGACATGACAGAGAACTTGATCGATGTTCGTTGTTTGAAATAAATGACAAAAAAGTACACTGCGATAATTGATGAGGAGGATTCTTTTTTCCGAAACACAGCCAGGGAAGGCTGACAGCTGCGGCTTGTCTTGCTCTAAATGCAATGGGACAATTTTTTACACATGTACAACACACACACACACATGCATACACATTGTCAACTTTCTCTCACAGACCTACTATGATGCCGCCTTTTTGAGAAGCAGCAAAAAACAATCTTAGTTCACTAGGGAGGGCAACACCCTCCCGGAACTTAGACAAAGACTTCTGGAGACTACTGTTCTTAATATGATGACTAGAAAAATGCTGCATCATCATAGACGGCGTGAGAGGGGTAGAGAAAAAAAAAGGCAATTATTCACCTGCTTCAAGGCGCACGGCAGTCTGTGTATCACGACCCTTCTGAAAACTTGCATAAAAACGTCGAGCAGCCCTAATAAATACAGTTATATATATATTTTTCACAAGCTTTGTATCAAAAGCAGAGCCGTTCCTCCTCTGTGGTACAAAATTATGCATCGTTCAGAAATATTCCGAGAAAGCTTCGCCTTTCCCGCACGTCAGAGACATGCGCTCACCATTCCGTCAATGCAAGCTCTCTCTCTCTCTCTCCCTTGTTCAGCACACATGTATCACAGTAAAAAACAACAAAAAACGAGACCTCTTCTCCATACACACGCAATCACAGCATGGGCACAAAAAATGCGCATCGGCATGTTCATAGCAGATGACAGTCGCATATTTAAGACACAGGCAGAGAAAGAAGGCTTTCTCCCAGATTCACTGTCAACCCTTTGCAAGTAGCTCACAACTTAAACAACAGCCAAAGCCAAGCCATGCCATTCTATGTTCCCAATGTCTATGAAAGCTACCACAGCAGAATGACAGAAAAAAAAAAAATCGTAGCTGGCCCTTGTTGATCATAGCAAGGTAATGCACATTTGGCATTCTTCATAACAAACTGCTCTCTCTTCTCTACATAATGAGGAAAAACTTTGGAATGTTAACATCTCAAACAAAAACATACAAGTTCTACTGGCAAGACGATGCATAATGGGTGATGAATTGATGTACTTGTAATGGCAGAAGAGGAGAGGTATTTTGTCTGTGTATTTCCCAATGCAGATACGGTGCAGCTCTGCCAGCTCCTTGCAAATTTGTCTAAATTTATGTCAACTGGTAGGTTTGGATCTTTGTCTAACGAGAATATGACAATTGCAACTTTGTTTCCAATTGCAACTTTTGTTTCTTCAACTCCTCAATTTGCCCTCAATACTGTTTCTTGAGACAATTTGTTCTCGAATCCACAGGTTTGGCACCGTGCAGAACTGCCGCATTCAGACTACAGTCGCATCTGTCACAAGTGTCGTAGCACGTAACGGCTGTATTGTCCATTTGCGTCGCTAGCGATCGCGTATATTCACATTGATCTTTTCGGTGCAATACACTCAAACCTCTTGATAACAAACCCGGATATAAAGAAATATTGGTTATAATAAAGTAAATGAAAAACAGCTGTACAATAAGTATAGTGTTGGGAATGAATTTTTATAATGAATTTTTAGATACGAATTTATTTTCGTTTAAGATGCAATTTTATTATAACGAGGCTTGAGTGTACGTTTTTTACAATGCGCCAATCACCCCTCTGAATGTGTGTTGCGTCCTCGCAACAATTTCTGGAGCCTAGCAAGGTTCACGTTTTTGGCCATGGTTGGGCTATAGGGGAAATGTGCTGTGCGCTCTCATTTACACATGTCACGTCTGCTCTCTAATTAGGCAAACCAACTGCACAGATACACCACTGCATGGCTTTCAAGACGCACATGTAGACTCCAAATCTGGGGACCCGGAAGCCCTGCAAACGGAAAGTGATAACCGAAACTGCTTTGCCCATCGGTTGTATATAACGGTCTCATCAGTAGTTGCAAGTCGCAGGCCCGCTATCATTTATGTCCCAAACATTATATAATTTACGCTGAACACAACATCTAAACAAGCTCATTATGTTGCTTGCATTCACGTTTGCGATCCTTATCAAGGATCCGTACATAGTGCAAGTAGTCTGAACATAACTTTACAGACGAGGCCAGATAAACTACGCTGGGATGGCACATGTAATTACCTCTGTCATGAGTACGCGAGGTTATTAGAGAGGCTTCCCTGGGGCAGGTGTGGTAGATCTCAAGTTTCCACTCCACAAATCGTAAAGTATGAAGAAATGTCAACAGAGGGATGTTTAGCTCGACCCTCTAGCGTATTGCAATGCCCGATTGCTTGTTTTAGGTACCTATATGAAACACATTTCCCCTTCGACGCAGTACCCACGCAATGCAGGTCTTCCAATTTCATGTGTTGCAATAACACCACTGTTATCCATAGCCGAAAATGCTTTTAGGACATGTGCTCACTTTCATCTGTAAGCATGCTAAAACATTACGGCTAAGACTAAAATAAAGACTTCAGACACAGTGAAACAATGTGCAAGACCACACTGAAGCTGCCCTGAAAATATGTTTCACGAGGCCACCAATCAGATTTGTGTACTGAACCAGGTACCAATGATGATTACCGAACTGAAAGATAGCTACTAGAAATACTACAGCTATAAATCCCTCCACATGACCTATTATGCAGATTCACACTGTATGCTTTCTGAAAGAAAAAAAAGATCCTGAAAGTGCCTTACAGCTTTTTAACAAGTTACGCACAATAAAGCAAAGCTTTCTATTTCTGGCATTATTTGCACCTGCAAAGCAAGCAAGGTTACAAAAGAAACCTTGTACACGGGTCTTTGGTGACGTGATCCTGTCAAACAACAACAAACTTTTATCAACAACCTCGCAAGTTCAAAAACTGTCAACACTCCCGCTCCCAGCAGCAATGTTCCTTTGAGAATCCTAGGGAAAGAAGATGTAGCGATCTGCCTAATGGGACATGCATTAGCACTGCTTGTTAGTCTGTAAGGCAGAATTTACAATATGCAATGCATGAATAACATCTATACATCTCAAAAATTGTACGGTAACCTTTACAAGAGGTAGAAATACGTTAATGTGCTTGGAGCAAATGATTCCTTCCACACATTGTGAAGACGTAGAGGGGCTGCAATCTAACGCGGAAGCATGAATGATTGACCTTGAACATCTGTACTTCAAGCAGAGCATATGGCAGAAAATAAATTTTAACGTTAGGAGTGTGGCAGAAAAGGTCTGAAAATTAACAAAATGAGCAAACAGTTGTTGACAGCACTTTCTAAGCACTGTTGATTTCCTGCACAAAAACGGACTAGCCAATTATACGTCTTGGGCCATTGAGCTAAGTTTCTATGTACATATATACAATCAACAAGTGGTCTCTCGAAGTGTATTTGTGTTAGCTTTGCTACTCCCCCTCCCCTCATTTTCGAAAATGTACACATAATGCAAGCTGAATTAAGTGCATGCCGCCGGGTTGGTTGCAAACAGCGGGCTTTGATCATTAGCTGTGGATGTGGCAAATTGGTATTCACGGCTAGGCGAGCACGACGCAAAGTCATTAGTCGACGAACTGTCATTGGTGCGGACATGGCTCGTCACTACCAGTAGGCATGAAGGAAGTCCTGTTATTAAACAAGAATGACAGAATCTGCATAAACAGAAACATCAGCGTATAGACCACTTACAAACATTAGCACTGCACCCTCCATCCTTGAATCAGTTATTTGCTGTACGCAATACAGTAATGTACTTATCCACTATGCGAATAAACAGGTCATGTTAAATGTTTACAAGTGCACTTGAATAAAGTAAGCCAAATTCACGCTCGCCGCTCTATTTCCTGGGATTTCCCAGTACAAGTACTCAAAGGAGCTGCTCATAGACACATGAATCTACTACGAGTGAGCCGAAAAGCAAGCCAACACAGTGCTCTAAAATCAGATGAAAAAACCTACGTTTGTTAAAGCACGCAAACTCCTAGCAGCAGGCGCATAACTTTTACTAAGAATACTTGTTTGTTCCAAGTCAGGTACGACAGAATAGTGGTGATGAACGCTGCTGGTCTCTTCCATAAAGCACAATATCAGAGAAAAAAAAAAAAACCTTTCATGGAAATTGCCACACATTCTAAAAAACCATGTCCCAAAATTACACTCAAGGCACTAGTGCTCAGACCCTCACAATTATCATTTCATATTTAGGCTCCTGGATAGTTTTCGATTGACTGATCCGTACTATTCATTTCTATCACTTCAATTTGATTTTGTTCTTAAACGCAGACCAGAATTTCCACCCACACATGGCAACAGTAACGAATTGCATTATATGCATGAAACAATGGTTTAAGAATGCACACTTTAACATGAAATAACCAGGAGGCTCAACAAAAAAGAACAAAAAAAAGTCATTTTAGCAATGCAATCTAGCTTTGCTTAAGCTAAATAAGGAGGAGCCTTACAATTTATTAAGTGTGGCCTACAAGTTCAACAGAACAAAAAGCTTGTAAAGTGAAGAAAATTCACAACATGGCCACAGTGTACTCGTGCAACTTTTCTCTGGATTTACTTTGTTGCAAACACACAATAAACGAGCGAGAAAGGTGTAGCTGATGAAATTTAAATGTCAGGAGAGGCCTTTAAATAGGCTCGTACATTTGAAAACAAGTGATATCCCACACGATGATCGCAACAAAAACAGCAAGATGCACATAACTCATTAACAAGTGGAGCGTTTCTACCTGCTACAATTGGCCACGCCATTAAAAAAAACAACTCTGAAGGACTTGATTTAATTTTTCCTCACACACAATTTAGCACATTTCCCTCAATTTGGTCATAGCAAGGCAAACGAAGATGTGAACACCACAACATGCCGTTTTTGCAGAGCAGAGACAACATACTTTTTTTCTTCCCCCATCACCCTTGGAATTACCACATGATGAAGGGCCGGGGTACAGTGCCAACTGAATGGAGGTTGTCAATTGCTGCATGGTGTCAGACGCAGATCTGGAGGTCCACAAGATGCGCAGTACCACTGAGTTGTTGCTGGCCGGCACTCTGCTTCAGGCCTTCGCCATGAGCTGTTACCGCGGGAAGTGTGTCGCCATCCGCAAGCTCGCTCCCGATCGTGCGCACTTTCGCGCAGAGTCGTGTTGTCCACCTATTCACACAAGCACACGAGAAAACTGAATGCACTGACGATGCAGTTGGGCAATATTTCACGTTGGCAGTGATCCACCAGGCACCTTTAGATGTGGCTGCTGTGGCCTGTGACGCCGCTCGTCGTTCGGGAGCAACAGGGGAAGCTTCAGGGCGGTTGGCACCAGCTGAGCTTGCACCTGCCCAGCTAGAACCTGCTGGTAAAGCTGCTGTTTCGCCATGGAGGCTGGCAGTGATGTGGCTGTCGAACCGGTCATGACACTGGACGCTGTGTCGGGCAGCACGGCGCGACCAGGGTGCGACCTTGAACCATTCCGTGCCCCTGTGGCCATGTGAAACACCTTAGTCACCTCTATCTCTGCTGAACTGTTCAACGCAAAATGTCTCGTTAGAGGAGGGAGGAAACGCTAGGCCTGTGCAGAACATGCAGCTCAGTCCCAGTGAAAGCTGGAAAAGAGATCTTTCTAGAACTTGTAGTAAACTCTAGAACACTTGCAAGGTACCCACTATTTTTTTATTATTATTTACAAATACTGCAGGCCCTTTTCGGGCCCAAGCAGGAGGTGGGAACATCATTAAGCATAAACAATACTTACAATAGTAATTACAACTGTCGCTAACATAAGTGGTAAAATATACATAAATTACAATCAAGCAAAAAAAATTTATTATTAATAAATATATTTGCTTCACGATTTCAAACACACAATATTATAAGAGTGATAAAACATGCACGCACAACAATTCAACACATGAGGTAAATTGCACACCATGCATAAAAAAGGTGAACACGACCATCAACTGCCAACATGGCTGTTCGGTATAAACACAACTTTACATGCCAAACAAGGGGTTATTTAAAAACTGAACAAGTGACTCTGTGGTACTAGCATTAACTGCTACTTCAGGTAATTTATTCGATAGTGATATCGCATGTGGAAAAATGGAATGTTGACATATTTTAGGATTACGAAACGGCTGCTTGACTGTTAAGTTGTGGTTTGTTCGACCAGACAGTATGGGGCGCTCAGTTAAGTAGCTTTCATGCGGTATTTTGTAGTGACCGTGGTACAGATGATATAAAAATTTCATGGCCCCTCACCAATGCAAATGGTTAACAGCATACCTTTTGCAACCAATTGAGCCTGGTGAAAAGTGGTGCCGTCTAGAACTCCCTGCACCGAATGATTGGGCACAGAGAACAGCTTGCTCTGCCCAAGTACTGTGGGCATGCCATTGGGAAGCTGGCTAGCTGTGGGCACAGGCACTTGTGGTGCGGCCAACAGTTCCTGCCAAAAGGGAACAGAATGCATTATGGAGCGAGAAGCAATCGAATGTGACAAGTAGACCGTGCACCAAAGGTGCACGGTCTACTACGGTTCAGAGCAGTAACTGAAGCACAAGAGAGGACCAACGCATGTCGATGTAGATCCTAAAAGTGTTGGTGTATACCCACACTATGTTTTCCGTGACATTTTTGTAATATTTTTGACTGTGTGGTGGTCCTTTCTTTCGCACTGTTATGTCTTCAAAGGCGCACTGTCAGAATTTTAAGCTCAAGGTGTGTCTGTGGATCGACTGCTCGGCATCCATAAGTATTTTTGGCTAAATCTCGTGGCCGTCACCTCAAAGTTATTTTATTTCAAGGGAAAACGGCGCACAGAAGCTCGACAGGGCATTCAGCACCCTGCTACTTAAACATCACTATAACACGTTTGGCATGGCCCAAACCATCCTGAGTGATGATGCACTACATAGTAGTCATGATGCTGATGATGAAGTGTTGTATTATTGCGCCAAAGGCACTAACAACTGAACATGTTCTCACTTTCAGTGGCTGTCATCACTCCTCAAGCCTGGTCTTCATGCCTCTCCAAATGATCTGTCATGTGCTCGTCATTCAGCATGTACAGTGAACCATTTAAAGCTACAGTCAGGTTGTTCGAGGTGCGGAAAAAGTGGAATGTGTGGGTCGCTTCACTATACGTACGGTGCACACAAAGATGACCAAAAGTTATCGAAATGGTGTAGGGCACCGATTAATATTATATTGCTAACAAGCAACACGTGGGTAGCATTATATTAGAGAATTTTAAGTTCATCCATAGACTTCTCTACGTCGGCATATTATCGGATTACTGTGGCTGTAAATGTGAGAGGCCAGATAGGTGGGGCTATCTGGCAGCGCAAGGAAAAACCTGGCAAGCACAGAATTATCGTAGAAACCTAAAGTCATTATGCTTTTATGTTGATGTGCATGTGGTATTCAAGATTTGCATAAAACCTTTTGCATATACTGGAATGCCATGCACGTTAACATTCTATAATATAGCTAACTGAGACATACTACCAGCGGGCACAGTCGAGTGTGCGTGCCAAAAAACCTCCTCATCGTTGCTTGGAAAAGCGTCCATTTCTAAATCACGGTTCTGCAAAGGTTCGAAGTGAAAATGATTCGCAGCAACTCCCAGCTCCAGAATGCTGTATTTATCACTGGTCAACAATTTCAACGGCGATGCTGACGAAAACACGACTTGACATGTGCACGTAGCAGATGAAATGTTAGCTCAACCTCATGCCACTTTTTTTTTTGTGCTCATGTAATCACCTGGGGCACTGCCTGGAGGGGATAGAAAGAAAGCACGGCCAGCGCTATTAATTGGCAGGCTTGCCACCTTTTTTAGAGGCAAAGCACCATAGGGTCTAGGCTTGTCAGTTGTTTTGGCACAACACATGCAAGGTACCCACTATACGCAATGACAATGATGATGAAGAATAAGCGCCTTCCAGATCACAAAGTCTTTCTGCCATGGTTGAAAATGATTGTGAATCTACTCTTGCCCACGAAAGGCAAAGTGGCAGCACAGCAAGCTACGGCTCAACGCAGACAGCAAGCTACCCCAGAGGTTTGAGCTCGGGAAGCAGTAGCAAAACAGCAATGCTGACAACAAGCTGTAACCCTGACAACAAGTCCTCATTTTTGGCACCAAGAGAAAAAAAATAAAACAATGAAAAAGAAAAAGCGCAAGCACGAACACCGGCGTTGCGGTCTTATAATGGCTTGGAGGGGCCGAACACACGAGTGTAGGGTTTCCCACCAAGGTGAGTCTCCAAGGGGGAGTGCAAATGCTCCCGAAATTTTGTGTAATCAAAACAACTAGCTAGCAAATAAATTGATTTCCGTCAAAACAACTTTAATATGTCTTCACATGTGAACGGACAGGACGGCACAGCTGGCTGCTGCGAAAGCGCTGGTCAAAGCTTTAGCTTTGCTCGCTGCTACATTCTTTCGACATGAACACCATAACGCTTCTAGCCTTTTTTACGCCTTTATTTCCCTTAATCTACCACTGCGTCAACCACGTACACTCAGAGCTCGTGGATTGCTATTGCATCACCGCGATCGTGGTTTTGTGCGCGGCGGTCGCGGCAAACAGTAGTTTTGTTTTCAATCCACATGCATTCAAAACTAAGTCCTTTTGTGCTATCTATGATCGCAACTACCACGGTTTCGTCCACAGAGTTTGGGGAAAGCAGAGTTGCTTTGACTGGTCGAGCGTTGGCCACGCGCATGCTTTTGGAGTTCCGTCAGTAACGTCATCGCTACACATGAACGTATTGAACAACTGCAATTTCGTACATAGCAGTTGTGGCAATGACGCGCTGGTCGCACCTGTAGTTCAGAAGCTTTGAGCATGCTGCTCTTGATCGGCCTCCATTAGACTGTTTTGGTGCCAAAGCTCATAGAACAACGCCGTTTTTGAGGCCGAGAATTGAAGCATGCGATGCATAGTGATTACAACTACTTAAAACTCCAAATGTTAAAGAAAAATTTAACGTCCAAAGACATACGTTGACAATGAAACGAATGCGAAAAGGAGGGCGGGGGGTCTAACAAAAGAAAGCACTATCGCAGAAATTTGCCGACTACTTCTCAGGCCGTCCTCGATTATGAGCATTACACAGAAACTATGTCAAATCGCGTCTGGAATTGCACGCACTGAAAGACATCAATCGTTTGATTTCACCATTCGAGCACTGCAAGTGCAGTGACCACGAAAGACCACGTTGATTCCGTACCAAACTGCAACTTAGCACGCGATCGCTACCGAAATGCAACCAACGTAGATTAGGCCTAGCTTGCTGTTCAATTGTCGTGGGAAGCTTGTCCAGAAACAGAGATAGGGAGAACAATGTGCGTGATACGAAGTATGAAATCGTGGCCAGGAGATCAATAATGACGAAGACCCACCAAGTTTATGTAACAGAGCTTTGGCAGAAAAGGCAAAAGCTTGCGTCATAAAGCCGTAAAAGGTTTTAAATTTACAAAGGAAGTAGCAAAGGCGATATCAGTCGCAAGCTCAATAACGAGGATTTTCCAGACAGGAAACTTAAGCGCAGTTCATAAGGAAAATATCACAAGTGCCATGTTGAGTCGCCCGCGGTTGGAGCCACGCTAGCAACACTAGTACACTGTAGTCATGTGAACTCCGGTGCAAATCTGTCGCCGAGGCAACAGCCCACCTCCTTACTCGACAAGCCCACACCGCATGCCGTGTTTTTTTTTTCTTCTCTTTTTCTTCCCTCCACCATTTGTTCCTTCACTCGGTGTCCCGCCCTCCTTCGTAATGACTTCGTCGCTCGCTCCCCAGCGTGCATCCTTTCACTCGCACGCTCACTAACCCGTTTCTGAATTATAAGCGGTTAGGTCATAAGTGGTCTACACTGTATATTTAATGGCGCAACACCAAGCATGACAGCTCCGCTGTAAAGCACATCCTGTTGAAAGCATACACTGGTAGAACAGCTCAGCCAAATCTTGCAGTCATATGCAGCGAAGAGCATTTGTGAAGTTGCTATTTTCTCAGGTGCCTTTTTTTCATACAGAGGGCCTGTGCTCACTTTCTTCGGAACTGCCAGTGCCTACTATTTGACATCAAACAGATAGCATTCTATTGGACAAATGCCAACATGAATCAAGGGCAGCACTTGGATCAGACGTGCTTCTTGCCATGGGTTGTCACCTTGTGCCAATGAACATGTGGCGATGTTTTATCATGCACCTCAAGGTGATATTGAGCACTAATGTAACTTTTTTCCAGTGCAATTCTTCCTGTGTAGCTTCCAGCAGACTCATTGTGACAATATTGAAAAGGCTCGTCAATCGCATGACAAATCTTTCGACTACGCTCATTCTCGACAGATTCAAGAAGCTTTTTGCAGAAATTGATTTGCAGGTCTATAAGTGAACGATACTGATGGCATTATCGTATAATGCCAAGGAAACCCCCCTCCCTCTTTACGGTAAATGATAATCCAACCAAATTTGGGAGAGGAGGGTGCTTGCTTTGTCCCAGACTACAAATAATATGGTGGCACAAGAACCACTAAATAAAAAAGTGCCCATACATGTTTCATGTTTCTTATTAAACGCTTTATTTATAAAAAGATTCACAAAATTAGATACACATTTAGTGTACTTATTATTGTGGTTCTGTTTACAAAAATTATTATTATTGTGATTCTTTTACATGCTCATCTTGAAAAAACAGTGGCCGTAGGGGAAGAGGGGGCTTCCTCAGTCATTGGCTCTTACTTTAGATCCCCCCCCCCTCCCAAAATGGTGGAGGGTGTGAGCACATGGTTGGCATTTCACAGAACTTGAAAAAGAACTTGATGACCCCTCTAAAAGAATGCACATGCTCTCATTCCATACACATGCTCACGTAAGTGTGCACTTACCGGCAAGACCAAGCCTTGGGAGATGGAAGGCTGGTGGTGGTTCTTCATCACAGGTGTCGATGAGGTGCGTCCAGATGCAGGAGGGTTTAGTTTGCGTGCCTTCAGCAGGGTAGGCCCAGCAGCTGGCTTTGCAGCTTTGTCATCAACAGGGCGACACTGTAGCAATGTTGTGGCCACCGCTGGTTTGCTAATTTTAACCGAGTGAAGCAAGCCACCACTGCTGACCTGCCCGTTGAGCACATCCGCTGTGGTCACCAGCATGGCTGTACCTCCGTCCTTGGAAGCCACACCCTGCCCCGACACTTGAAGTCTCGACAGTGCACCCAAATGGGTCCGAAACGGAAAGGTCACAGACGTGCCCGACAATGGCACTTGCACAGCGGAAGCCACTGATGACACCGGCGTGCTGGTTGCAATCGATGAGACTGTGGCCAGCGACGAGGCCAGCGACGGTGTTGATGAGGTCACCACAGTCGCGACGGTGGAGGAGACTGGCTTCTTTTTGCGAGGAGCACTGGACAGAAGCACATTGCCACCACTACTGCCACCACCATTGCTCCCCGCACTCCTGGACGGAGCTGCTTGCTTTGACGGGTGGGTGGCTTTTGACACTGGGTGGGCAGCGGCAATGGCTGTCGACATTGCCTGAGTGCTCAAGGTGCCCCCACTCGTGCCAGTTGGATGTGGACTGCTTCGAACAGCAGTGGCCAGAGTATGTGGCACTGAAGTCTGTGATGTGGCCACTGCGACCGGAGCTTCCACCACTGCCACACTGCCAATGCTGTGCTGATTGGCGGAGCGCAAGTGTTCATCTTTTGAAGAGACATAGCCGGAACCAGCAGCGTTTGGAAGCCGAGAGTCAACCACGCACAGTCTCCTGCGAAGTGCAGACAAGCCATGTCTTGATTACTGTCGCTTAGCTTGTAAATGGATCTGTTTCTGCATTTGGTATTCTGCAGGGGTGTAGCCAGAGGGCGGCACATCGTACCCCCCCCCCCCCCCCCCCCGCCTCCCGCCCTAAATGAATCCTGGCTATGCCCCTGGAGTATGGGGTACTGCTTTTATAGCACCTTTGTGCTAGAAAAGCAGTATCCTCTCTCTGAGATCCCATGGACTGCAGCACTTCAGCATTCTCTTTACCATGCAGCGTTGACAGAATGCAAATAAAGAAAGTTTGCTCCCTGTGCAGACCGTCTTCACTCAGCTCATGCATTTCCACTAGAAACTTTCAATTTCAAGATGCCCGACAGTACAGTCCGACCGCTTTGTAAGAGACACCGATATTACACACACTTTGGGCATAAGACACATTAGTGTCCCTACACTGAAATAGGGATTGATAAGAAAATGCACATGTTGTACACTGCTTATTGAAGACAGCTTATACAGTCGAGCTCACATATAACGGCCCCGAACTTAAAAGAAACTTTCGCTTAAAACGAACAATATCCTCGTGACCGTGAAAATATACATTGGTTCAAAGGCACAAAATCGCACTTACAACGAACGTCTCCAAGCGCCGATGATCGGTTACAGCGAACGAAGTTAGCGGTCTGCCGACTTCCCAGGAAACCAATTTCGACCATCGATCAGGTATCGGCGAGGTGCCCATACATTCTTATTGTTAAACGCTGACCCTGCCTCCACGCCTCTCTAGTTGCCGCTCTCCCCGACCGCTTTTTGTTACGCACCCCTCCGTCCTTTGTCCCCCTGCTACTCCGAGCACCCCGCATCGACAGACGAGGCCCGTGTTTTCACACTGCCACCGATCTTTAAAGACCGGTCGGCCATCTACCCTGTTTTGATCGCTGGTACTGTCGTTGGCGTCACCGGCCTGAAGTGACCAGACCATTTGCCAACATCGTCGGGCACCGACTGTATCCGATAGTCTGCGTCTAGTGCTCGCGCGTACGCTAGCCCACCGACTGATAATTTGAGATTCGTTTCGTGTTTAGGACTTGTTCTCGCTCACTTCACACCCGGCTCAGCATGCCTTCCGCGCGCGTGCGGAATTGCGAAAACGGCTGTTAATTTTGCGCGGAACGAATCGCGAACTGTGGAAGTTCGCGAGGCCACGCAAACCCGCCGGCGCGACGAAACAATTTTTGGACTACAGCCGCCGATTCTTCGAACACCACCACGCACACCGATTCATGCGGTCATGCACTCCTTCCAAGTTTTTCTACGTGCGAGTTTCCCGGACCTTTCAAGCAAGCTACCCAATCTGCCTCCTTCCCGTGTGTTTTGGTTTTCAAGGTCGCCCTCCCGCCGCATTCTTCCCTCTCTTTATCGCAACTCCTTGCCTTTCTTGCAAGTCTGCTAACCTCTCTTGATAACAACTCTTTCACCCGTCCTCACTGCTCTGCGACGCCCGCCCCGCTGGCTGGAATTAGTTTCATTTTCTGACTTTTCGGAAACGGGCCCAGAGCTGTTCCACGTGCTCTGGCATGTGTGTCGCATGTGTGCGTTTCGCTTGTTCTTGGTGTGCGTGTGTGGTCATGATGGCCGCAGGACTAGCACGGTTTTTCGTGCCGCTCAACAAAACGTTGAAAGTGTGACCGCTTGGCTTGAGCACAATCGGCGCGTTAGGTGCCGCGTTGCGGAGCGCTTGCTCATAGCTGTTGACCACCTGGCAGCCAACTTGCCGCTTCGGGCGTCCCGGTATTCAGCTGTGGAGATGGTGAATATTTTGTGGGCGGCGGTGACGGCTACATGCGCGCGAAGCTGGTTTTGCAAGGCCGACTTTGTCGACGTCGGGCCCAATGCGAAGCCCGAACAGGATCACTGGGGAGGTGATTTGTGGCAGTGCGTCGTTGACTCCGACCTGGGACAGCGGGTGGGACATCTGTTGCGATGGTTTAATTACGGCCAATGATGATGCCGACACTGCAGAACCGTGCACGGATTAGGGCATAGTGAATGAAGCACGTGGCAAGAGCGATTTGGAGGAATCAGATTGCGAGAACAATGAAACTTAGGAGCCCGTGTCTCATGCAGCTTATGCCAAGGGCCTCAGCGAACGAGCACCCTGCTGTTTTAAATGAACACGAGACCGCCCTTATCGCTTCTATTCTTCGAAACACGAGCGTCACGGACTTTTTGGTGCAAAAAAAGTTTGTGTTTTCACTCGCAACTTTTTTTAAAAGCCGTGTTTCATTTACTATGAACTTCGGGATACAGCGAACGGATGCCGCGTCACGCTCAGGTTCGTTATAAGCGGGCTCGACTGTATAGAAGACAAGAAGTGCTTCCCAGTGCATGCCTCTTATACAGGGGTACAACTGCATAAGATTGCAAATTGTAAGCACAATAGATTACACAGCCCTGTGAAACTGTCTGCGGGGTGAAATGGACACTGGTCAAGTAAGGAACCAGTAGCCTTGGAAATCGCAGATGCCGACGGCATTCAATTTCGCACACTGGTCTGGATTCCAAACTCCTACGTCATGGTATTTGGAACTGGTTTTTGTAGTGTGCTCAGCTAATCACAGTCACCCACCACCTCTTATGGTTCAGAAAAGCTGAAAACAATGACTCCAAAGAGGCACATCACTCCAAGTACAGAAACGAAATGTGCATGAAATGTACACAGAAAGGAAGAAGCCACAGCATCGTAGATACACGAGACTGGTACTTTAAAACATAAGAAACAAAGATAAAATTTCACTGCAAATGCAGCTATACCCTGATAAAACGACGATCAAGGTAATGGCATCCTCAATAAAGCAAAATTTTTTATAACTTCATATGCATAGAACTTCATTTCTTAATCTGGCACCAAGCCCTAGATGTGCATTGAAATTACCACTTTCTAACTTTGCCAAAAACACACGCAGAACCTCAAACAAACACATCAAATGCACACAGAGGCTGCAGGACACATGAGCGCAAGCTTGTTGCATGAGCAGAGCCAAAATTACTGACAGAACATAACATCCGCACATGCCTGCTGTAGTATGCAACAATTTCTTTGTACGCTTTCCTGGAGCTATCACCACAGCTGTGAAGCAATCAAAAGCAAACATTTGCAAGTGTAATGGCTAAGTAAGCCTTCTTTGTGCTTGACCTGTTTTTGGCTACAGAGTATGTGGCTGGGAAAATATTGGTTGGCTGCAAGTGCTCTTTTAACACACGTCTCGCAACTTCTATCGTTTGAAAGATATCCCGCAGCTGGAAAGCACACCGTGCAATTGTAGTTAGGCGACGTATTGAACATTGGTGCCCTAAAATTGTATTAAAATGAAAATGTACCGACGACGCTCTACTCTACTGTGCACACAACAGTGGCATTCCATACTTCAGGGGTGGTGGTTGCGTGCCATCTGTGCCCAGTGCCGAGGCCAGAGCTGAACGGGTCGCGTCCCACCGCCGGTCCAGTAGAAACAAGCCGTTGCCCATTTGCCTCAGGCCAAAGGTACACACCTGTAAAGGTAGCAAATTTTCAATTTCAAAATGTCGGATAATGTAAAACGACCAAGTGTAAGCAAGGTTACACAGTCCTGGAAAAATGTCTGTGGGGTGAAATGGACACTGGTCAAGTACGAAACCAGTAGCCTTGGAAATCAACAGATGCTGAGGCATTCAATTTTGCACACTGGTCTGCAATCCAAACTACTGCATGATGGCGTTTGGAACTGGTTTTTGTAGTGTGCTTGGCCTATCACAGCCACTATCTATTTTGGTTGAAGAAACCTGAAAATACAGCGGTCAACCAACTAACTAGCACAACAAAAAGTGTCGTAGCTTTTGCAATAGCGTAAGCATGAAGTCCTGTCGAACGAAATTCTGCGTACTACAGTCGAACCCCGCTACAACGAAACTGACAGGGCTCAGAAAAAATTTCGTTGTATTGAAAACAAAAAATATACCTGATCTGAGCTATCAAAACAGAAATGTTTATTCTCAAAATTAAAAAAATGTCCGCGTCACGACGCGATTCTCACCCATGCATAGCCAAGCCATAGTGAAAAGCACGCTGAAACAACGGCTACAACCGCTTTCGTGAACGAACCAAACAGTTGCATTAACACGTTAACACCAGCAGCTGCCCACCGTCAAAAGTATCTAACAACGCCGAAATGGCGGCAGGGTATCGTGGAGAGGGGACTTTTGCATTATTTTATGCCATTCTTATCATCCATCACTCCCGGCTAGCTGATTTTGTTGATAATGCTGACGAACAGCCGCTCTGATTAGTTACCACACTGGCCAAGCGCGAACATAATGATAAGCATCGGAATCGGAAAAGGCATCGTGCCGCGGTTGCACTAAGCAGCTGCGAGAAGGAAACCATGAACTGAGCGACTGAGCTTCCGCCATGGATCGTCTGTGGCTCAAAAGCAAGACAGTGGCAAAACAAAAACAGGGCAGTCTCTGTCATCGCTATCGAGCAATGGCGGCGCCCATGCTTGCTGAACAGCGGCGGTTTCCGGTGGTGCCAACGCGTGTTTTAGACTTCGTTGACGCATTTTCAGGCTCTGAAAATGCAGTGAAATGTTGAAGATTGGGTTTACTGCTTAGCAATAAGTAGCTGAGCCTGGAATTGCATCGTAAAATTTCGTTGAAGCGGGACGATCAAAGAAAAAGTGGCATTGACTCCTATGGACTGCTGACAGGGAATCGTGAATATTTCATTGTAGCAGAAATTTCGTTGAAGTGATGTTGGTTGTAGCGGAGTTTGACTGTATTACAGAATATTGTGCGCTCTGTGACAGTAAAATTGGCATTAAGTTATTAATACTTATGTCACTGAAGTAATTAAAAAAAAACCTGCATGGCTAGCAGTAGTTCAGTCTTAACAGCTTCAAATAAATAAATATATGTTTATAATGAATTTTTAGGTATAACGAAGCATTGTCCTGGCAGGTGCGACTTTGTTAAAATGAGGTTTGAGTGTATTCCTCACGGCTTCTACCCTTACTGCCCTGCCCATGACATGGATGACAGCGCTAACTGTGGTGCCATTTCTCAGCCTTACGGTTGCCACCTTTGCCACATACAATGCCTTTTCCTAACGCTGCTTTACTCTGTGCAAACCTACACGCAAACATCACCAATTAAGCGGTAACTGTGTAAGCGCAACTTACGGCTGCTGGCCTAGGGTGGTGCGAGACGTAAGGATCATTGCTGTGGTCTGGCCTTTGACGCGTCGTGCTTCCCGAACTCGTAGAGCTGCTACCAGCCGATGGCTGGCTAGTTGCCTGTGCAGCAGGCGTTGTGTCCATTGGTGCACTGAGGCAGAAAGAAAAACACCGCAAAACGGAGGAGTTGATGGTTGTTGGCGAGCGGCTGACAAATCTGCCTAGAATACCAATCACAATTACCTATCTTGACAATCTGTCCGGGAATACAGATCAGTCCACTTGAAAAAAAAAAAAAGAAAGAAAAAAAATGCAATCGCAAGCTTTCAAGCGGAACCTATGCAAACCCAAAAATTGACATGGGACGTGCAAGAACGGCCACATCGGTGATTTTTGTTCTAATTAACCATTGATTTGAACCTGAATGTGGTGTTCAGCATGGTTGTGGTCAAGGTTATGGTATAATAACTCAACTTGTAGAATTATCACATGACATTTCGCACGCTCTAGACTGCGGTTACCAAATCGATGCAATTTTCATTGACTTTTCAAAGACATTTGACGCTGTTACACATTCTAAGCTTCTGCATAAACTTCACCCTATTCTTAACAATTACTCAATGGCTACTGGACTGCTAGTTTTCTAAACAACAACAGTTCCCAGTATGTTTCTTTGAGTTCCTCAAACTCATCTGTTGTGAATGTGTCATCAGGAGTCCTCCAGGGCTCAGTCCTAAGACCACTTTCGTTCTTACTAGACATAAATAACTTGCTCAGTTATGTGTCTGCCAAACCCGCCTTAACAATGACGACTGTGTACTGTATAATGTAATTATACCAACGATGACCACATTTTACTTTAATGATTCTTTTGCACAATTTTGCAGATGGTCTACACACGGAAAATGAACATACACTTAGTTAAAACAGTCACTCTTTCCTTCTGTAAACACACCTCTGTTTCTCTGTTCGATTACTCTTTCAATGGCTCCACTGAAACGTGTGTCCGATCATAAGTACCTAGGCCTCACCTTCACAGCCAACATGCCTTGGTCTAAAGATATCGACTACAACCTGCAATAAAGCTTTAAAGAAACTGGGCTATCTAAATCTTACATTAAAAGATGATCCACACGAAACAAAATTGCTCATGTATAAATCGCCCACACGTCCCATCCTTGAATATGCCGGTTCTGTATTGAACCCTCATAAAGTACCTGATGTCAACACGCTGGAGTCTGTTCAAAAGAAAGCCCCCGTTTCATTTTCCGATGTTATGACTAAAATTTTTCACCTTCTTCTCGGCTTGCTATGTTATGTCTATAAACTCTGTCCGAGCGACGCTATCTCAAATGCCGAAAGTTGCTGCCTATTCTTCTTAAAGGGACACTAATATCAAGTATTCAGCCGATGTTGATTACTGAAATAGCGGTCCAGAAACCTCGTAGTGCAACTTTTGTGCCAAGATAGTGCTTATTTTGAAATAAATTCACGTTTTAGTAGTCTGCATCACGTTACCACACTTAAAATTACCCGCCTCAAGTGGAACCCTTCACGTCACTATTGCCGTACACAACCTTTGCTGGCTTTACTGCGTGGTCGCCAACACTAGTAGCAGCAGAACGAAAGCAGCGGGAGCCACAGCAGCAACAACGGTCATCAAACATTTCCTGCTATGGTCTCCGAGATGACAGGCATACTTAGTTCAACTGAGATGGCATGACCTGTCCAGTTTAACCAGACGAAAATTGAACTTTTGAACCACTCTCGCCATTCCTCATTGCAACGTCCAGTGGTTTTTTTTATGAATCGAAAAGAAACGAACAAGCAGCATTTCATTATGTCTCTTGATGCACGGAAGCTTTTTTACTTAGTGCAGCTAGTGTGATTACTAGTGATTAATTGTAGGCGGTAAGTCTGATGTGATCGGGATCATTTAACGAATGTTACACTCGCGGCACATGTGTTCTTGTGCATTTACACTAATTTCTCGGTAAGTAGGATACTACTGTTGCTAATAATGTCATTTCATTTTAGACGCTTAAATACATTGAGCTTGTACTCCAACATAAATTTTTATTCTACTTTAGTGTCGCTTCCATACCCCACACTACACATTAACGAATATTTGTCTCCCGAAAAACTGAAACCCATGAGAAATAGCCACAAACTCAATCTGACACCATTCCATCTATGTAATACAGTAATTACTCGAATTTAACGTGCACCTTTTTTTCGGTTAAGCGAGTTCATAAATCGCATGCACGTTAGAATTGAGTAAGAAGAAAAAAAAAATGAATACGGTCATTTATTGCCATCGGCCTTTACAAAATGGCCGCCCCCTAAGTGCGTCGGCATGACGTGTCGGCCATTTCTGCCTATGTGTTTCCCATGAGCGGCACTTAGTACGGGTGCTGAGGAGTTCGTCATCTTGTAGTGCATTAGCATCGACGGCATGAAAGGGCCGACTTTAAAAGCTCCCACTTTTAAAAGAAAAGTCATCGCATGTGCCGAAACGGACAGAAATCGGGCCGCATTGCGGTCGTTCGGAGTTCCCGAAATGTGCGTGCGGAACTGGCGGAAGCAAAAGCAGAAGATTGTCGACAGCAAAGATTCACACAAAGGCTTCAGTGGACCACAGCAGGGTCGGTTTCCGCAAATTGAAGAGCTGCTCGGCGAGTATGTGATTGAGCAGTGAGCGGCACAGAGGCCCGTGACGACAGAACTGCTCCAAGTGCAGGCTATGCAGTTAGCCTTAGAAAAAGGGCTAATGCGGAGCCAGTTTAAAGCGAACAGGTGCTGGCTAACTAACTTTATGAAGAGGAAAGGCTTTTCCCTCCGAAGGCGAACGGGCATATGCGAAAAGTTGCCGGAGGAGTACAAAGAAATGCTTCACAGTTTTCAGAGGTTCGTCCTAAACTTGCGACACAACAACGGCTACCTGCTTGGGCAAATCGGGAATGCCGATCAGATGCCTCTTTACTCTGACATGCCTGGCACCACAACCGTTGAGAAGAAGGGGCGAAGCAAGTTCGCATGCTGACATCGGGCCACGGTAAAACTAGAGTGACGGCAATGCTCTGTAGCACGTCAGATAAGCACAAGCTTCCCCCGTACCTCATATTTAAACGGAAGACGCTCCCGAAAAGAGTCGTTTTCCAGAGTGGTGTGATCGTGCGGGCCAACGAGAAAAATGGGTGCACATTGCAATCCATGTCTTACTTTTTTTTTTTTCCGTCGTGGAAACCGCGTGCGCGTTACAATCGAGGGCGCGGTAGAATCGAGTAAATACGGTAACCTATTTGAATTCAGCTTTTTTTCTGCACACCATAGAAAAATGTTATATTTTGCCTGGGTCAACCAGATCAGTGGATGATTTCTTAAATGAATGTATTAAATCATGCTTTGTTTAATTAAGAGTGTTATTCTTGTTTTCTTCTTTTTCTCGCTGTTTATTTTTCTTTCTCTTGCTGTGATGCATTGCCTTTCCCTTTGTGTGCTCATTTTGAAAAACCTATACCTGCAATAGCCCAGATTGGGGTGCAGTATGTGAAAATAAATGAATAAAAACCTGAACCTCAGATGTCCTGCAATTTTAAGCTTCTCAGGTTATTATAAATTTGTCCTGGTTAACTTAAAATAAGTGTGGCGCCTACTTCTCTGTACAGCAGGTGACCTGAACAGGCAGCTAACAGATCGCAGCGTGAGGGCGAAATGACCAACAGTTTGAAGCATGAGACACTGCACAGTAAAAGCTCATTAATTTGACCCTTATTAATTTGGAAAAATAGGATAATTTGAATGTGTTCCCTGTCAGCACATGCATTATTAAAAGCTGCCTATAACGAACTCCTCACTATTATGAAGTTTTTCTATTCCCCGCTGGTACTCCATAGAAAGACATGTGTTTGCGACTTCTATGTAACAAAGTAACAACAGGAGACAACGTTAATAACGAATTTTCGCGATGGACAATCTGAGAATTTTGCCGTGGATTTTGCCCTTTTGGCATGAGAATGCATCTTCTGTGGTTGCCCTGCTGCCGACGAAGTGCATGGCGTGCAGATGTGCGCAAGGCGGGCCTGCGCCTTTCGAACTGGTGTTTCCACCGTTCTTGCCGCCGCAGGCGCATGCCCAGATGTGTCCTCCCCTTCCCTTGGAAACAAAAACTACTTTTGCGTTGGCTGTGCCACGCTTTTAGTTAGCATCACTTATGTGGGGCCAGGCTGCATTTGGAGAGCGCTTTACCCGATAGTTTCTCGCGGTGTCATTCGCTCTTAGTATTCGACGGCGTGCACGGTTTCGCTGCCCGTGCATAGAGTGGCCCCCGACGCCATACAGGTTTGCTCTTTTTTTTTTTTTAAATGCGGACAACTATGTCGTCATTACCGAGGAAATGTCAGTTGAGGAGCTGATGGAAACTTTCCGAGACCATGGTGAGAGCGACTGATCTTCGGAGGTCGACCCATCACGCCGCAGCGCCAGTTCACAGGACCGTAGCCTTTGCAATAAGCAGATTAGCTCTGGCAACATGACGGCGCGTTGAATGTAATATGAGTGCGATAGCAACCAACTGTATTTAATGTTATGCAAAATAAGGCTGGCAGCCAACTCTTTCGCTCCAACATCATGGAACTCCTACAAAACTCTCATGAAAGTAAATACGGCCACTCCAAGTAGAAGCTTTCTTTTCACACGGTCTTCATGTTGAAAGCGCACTGATGCTTGCCGAGATAGCACGCGCACCAGCCATCAGGACCAGGCCCTTAAAATCAAACTTCACGGTTGCTACTCAAGCAACCTCCCCACATTTTTTCATGCTTGCTCAAAATGGATGGTTTCCTTTCTGCATGAGCATTCGACGGCAGTTCTAACACGCGGGGTGAATGTTATCGTATGCACCCTCCAGGCGATAGAGATCAGCCGGCTCATTTGATCTATGCTTCAGCAGCGGTTGCACGCTTTTATCCACTTGTAAAAGTTACGATGTGCGGAGGCCCGTTATCAATTTGGACTCGTTACGGAACATGGCGGCGACGACAAAAACCAGTCGAGTGTCCATATAATTGCTACCGTAATAATAACGCAATTCATTACCACAAAATAGGTGTTTTGGATGAGCTCTGCCTACAGTTCTCCTTTTGTTTAATCTGTGAATTCGTTTTTTGAATTTTTGTAACGAACCTGCATATAATAAAATCCTTCATAACGAATTTTTCCTAGAATATGTCAATTCAGTTATAACCACGTTTTCCTGTAGGGGAGTATACGAAAGGGGGAAGAGAAGCAAAGGTGAAGAGTGATGTGAGGGTGAGGAGCAGGGAACACCACCAGCCTTACTGCTTCCTCAGTCTTTGCACCACAAGTTCAAACTGCCCGAATTTATTTTCCTCACTTTTTAAAATCCGAACACACCTTTTCGCGTTCTGGTCCTGCTTGGCAGAGGCTCCAGCTGAGGAGGCGGCTGTACCAGATGATCCCTTGGACAACACACTCTGCTTGGAACCGCCACCGCTTGGAGCTCGTGCGACCAAATGCACCGATCCCCCAGACGTCCTATTGCCAGGAAGGGCTGCATGAGGGAACAAAAATTCGTCCAAACATTACCAGTCATAGTGCATAAATAATTAAATTCCTGTAGTACTGCAATTTCATTAATGCTTACGTGGATATGCCAGAAGAATGCAGACATTTTGCAAAAAGGCGAAGCTCCCAGGTGCACCTTGAAAGTGTAATGTTCACACGTTTCGCTCAGAATAATTTGCACCATGCGGCAGAAAATTCTTGTTGCAAAACTCCACACTGCCCCTTATTTTCATCTTCTAGAGACAGGACAGCACAATAACTGAACTGGGAATGCAATCAAAAGAAATATAATTTCGTGTTTTACATTTCAAAACCATAATTTTACTACAAGACACTGTACTAAAGGGCTCTAGAAATTTCGACCACCTGGGGTTGTTTAACGTGTACCTAAGTGTAAGTACACGGCCTTTTCATGTCGCCTCCATCGAAATGAGGCGCGATGAAACTTCATGGACACTATGAACAGGTTGTTGGAACATACTAATTAGTCTACCTCTTGCTTTGAGTAGTGCAGCATTTTTTACTCTTTGTGAGCAAGTGTTTGAGCCAATTCTGTTTGAAATCCTGGTGCCAGAAACACGTGTTCGTGAGATAACTGGAGTCGTTTGCAGTACTCCAGCTGGTGTACTTGTGAAAAGCATCCAACAACTCACCTTCACTGGGGCACCCGTGTTTTCCGGCAGATGCTGCCACGTTAGTGGATGGGCCACCAGTGTGATGAGATGACAGTGGTGATGGTGCAGGTGATGAAGTGACTCCATCTGTCACCGAACTGGCTGACGACGATGGCGGATGTGCTGATTTGCTGGCATTGAGAGCCGCTTCCTTTGTGGCTCGGTGCTCGGACAAGAGCTCATCGAAGTTCTTTCGGCGCCCAGCAACCGCTCGGCGCAGTGTCAAGGAGTGGGTCTGTAAGCAAACAGGTGAACAACAATTGGATGTGGTCTTGTTGTAAAAGACTACAATGACAAGGCCCTACGTGGTTTGACAACTGCAAACAGGCTGAACATTAAGTATCTGGCTCGGTGACAAATTGAACAGAAGGCGCCCATGATGCGGCTCTAAACACCTCCGGTATTTTTTTTTTTTTCAACATTTAGAAGTAAACATGCCCACCGAGTTCACAATGCTGTAATGACCGAAAATGCCAAATGTGTATGAGCCACAGGAGCTTCACAATATAGAAAACCGATTCTGTGCTCCTCCCCCAACAATTCAGTTTGCCATGTGTTGCTTGTGACATTAGCACTGACTAGAAAACCTTTGTCCACAGCAGATGCGGATAGTACTCTACGAGGAGGAGCGATGAACCGACAAACAAAGCGGGGTGAAGGATAGAGCAAAACCAGTGATCATCAAACACGTGTAACTCCATTACCACACAGAGCTACCTCTCTTAGTAGGTACACCTATGTCACTGTCTTTGCTTTAGCCACTCAGTTTTTCTAATTTTGATGTTTTAGTGGCTTTCTTCGAATGTATCCACTATTACGGCATCATTAAAAAAAATTCACACGGTTACACGCTCATTCTAGACCACAACTAAGCTCTGACCTCTAGGTGGTTTCGACGAGCACTTACTTTGCAAGTGAGGGAGCGGGTGCACGGCTTCCCGCTGTCTCCAATAAGGACACCGCAGTGCTTGTTTGGGTCGTACTCACGATCTGAAGATTAATAAATACAAAATACTAAAGGCAGGCTATGTAACAACAGCTTTCATGCTTGACACAAACCGAAACATTTAGCGTGCCTATGCTTAGTGAACTACATTTCAGAGACAGACAGACAGACAGACAGACAGACAGACAGACACACACACACACACACACACACACACACACACACACAGGAATTTATAAAAATTGATAACTACCTCTTATGTATCAGCAGAAATAAGCCCAATGCATGCTCAACTACATGAAGGTTTCCCAACTATAGAGTTACAGGTAGGTCGAGGTTACAAAAATTTCTTCTTCTTCTTAAGTCCTATCTACCACAGCCATTTGCTCAATCGTGCACAGCAACCTAATAAATTAACAAATAAATACATAAATATGAAGTGAATGCTGTAGAAAGTGTTCAGTGAGGATTTCTCTTGTGGTAAAAGAAATGTCAAATTTCTGCAATTAACAAGAACATCATTAAAACACCATCTGGTACAGAACTATTCTGTTACAGTATCGCGAGCCACTATACAGGCCGAATGTCCATATAAAAGAATGCTTCGACTCGGGAGCCCAGTATGGCCAGTGCTCAAGATACACGGACTCATTCACACCTATCTACGGTCAGGTAAAAAAAAATGCTTTCAATTTATTTACAATTCAATAAGGCTTTTAGAACGTCAGCTCCGGTTATCCGGTCTGCGTGCCCAAATGCTGTGCTACCAGTAAAAAATGGAATGCAAATCTGCAACCTGTGCTTCAAGGCTTTGTTTCATACATAAGGTGTAGCAGTGCGGAGGCTAAGTAAGAAGCTCAGCCAGCAAAATGTGCAAGTTCATGTGGTTAGTACTAGGCTTTCGTCATCATAAGAGCCTGTGCGAGCAGAGTCGCGACGGCCTGCAAATGAAATGCCAAGAATCGAAAACAGAGGAACTTTTTGATCCAGAAGATCGTATTCTGAACTGTAAGTTGAGCTTTCTCAATCTTTTAAAGCACCAAGAAACTTCACTTATTACAGAGCCGAAACACGAAAAAAAAAAAATGCATTGTGGTTGGTAAAACAAAACTCTTTCTTGGTGGGAATGCAACTATCACAACAAAGCTTGCTAGCCTCCAAAGCTTTGCCCCTCAAGTAGTGCCGAAACCTCAACTCGATTGAGGCACGCCATAGCAAAGGGCTCCGGAAATTTCACCCATCTGGCGTTCTTTGACGTGCGCCAACATCAAACCAGCACACGAGCCTCTAGCATTTCGCCTCCATCGAAATATACTAGCAGCAGCTAGTATAAAACCCACAATCTTTGCGTCAACAAACAAGCACAGTAACCACTGCACCACCAAGGAAGATGTTGCACTTGATATATGAAATGGAGTGCAGACTTGTAAAAACTTCCTTTGCGACTCAAAGGCTGCACTTTTCAGAAGGGACGAAGCTCAGACAGTTAAGCGAGAACATTAACAAGAGTTTCCAATATCCCTCGACACCACCCTCGATTGGCTACGTCCCGCACCTTTACACGGCAGCAGCTTCCTCTCCCGTTGAATCTTCTTCCCGTGAGAAGAACCGGTGCCGGCTGTGGAGGCTCCACCGGAGGCCACCTTCCTGACAGAGGTGGGCGCCGTGGTGGGGGTCGTCGCAACTGCCAGTGCCGGAGCGCCGCCGGCGCTCATGCCCGGCATCACGTGATTGGCCTGCCCTGGGCCTGGTCCGGATAGCAGCCCTTGCCCACCGGGGGTTAGAGGTGGTGGCTGCTGGGGAGAGGGCAGCTCCTTTTCTCGACCGGGCGAGCTGTTGCGAGCGGCCGTCCCGTCAGGCTGCCGTGGAAGTGGCATACGCTCCACTCGAACTACAGGGGCCAGCGTGTGGTGGTTGCGTTTTAGTCGTTCCGCAGCGCCGCTGTGCTTCCCTACGTAGGTTTTGAACACTATAAGTAACGGAAAGACCGGTCCAACAGTTTTAAAGCATTTCTTAAAGTACAAAGTGTAGTCGGATCACCAACTGAGACTACATATTAATGTTGAAGATAATTCATTGATGTTGTGCACCATAGTCCTCGAAACTTTTATACACCAGTTGTACATGAAAGCCCGTAAGTTATATCTGCAGCTGCTCCATGGATTGCAAGGTCTTCATTTGTCTCAACTACATTGTCTCGGTGCTAGTGTTAGCTTCAAACTCAACGAAATGCTGCTACTAACAACAACAAAGTTCCCCAGCATAACAAAAAAAATTCACTTGGTTCATGCAACCGAAATATGCTTAAAATTCCACACACCTGACAGTGAGGATCCAGTCGGAGCCTTTGCCGTCGATGACGGGCGCCCAGCTTGCCCGCCCGAGTGTCGTGGTGCGGAAGACGATGACGTCGAGGATGAAGATGATGACGAAGAAGAGGAGCTGTGCCCCGAAGACTTTCCTCCACCAGAAGGGTGGAGCACGGAGGGGTCGGCAGTATGGTCACCCCGAGCAAAGTTGCCAATGCTCCCATGCCGCTGCTCTGAAGGAGCGCAAAGGCACAAGGCGGCGTCAGGCAAAACTCCCAATGTTTGATAAATAAGGAAAGTAGCGCGACTCATGCAAGAGGGGAATGAAACTTCAAGCACATAAAATTTCCAGCCCAATTGAGCGCAACTCCTATGCTGTCAAAATAAGTGCACCTAATGTCAAAGCAACAACTTCTTAAGATCTGTCTGGGTAAAGCATTCTGGACTTGGGGAAAAAGTTTTGAAAGTCCATGCAGTGAGACTAAACAAAAAAGACTGCATCAAAGTTACTGTAAATAGCTTTCTAAGGTTGTTTTTGAGTACGTTTAGTTTACATGTACGTATATACTCTCACTCTCCTCAGAACACTTATAACCACTACTTACCATTACGAAAAAAAAAAAAAAAAAAACTTAATAGATACATGATGTTTTCTGTGAATAAACACCTTACTCATTAGCTCACTGCAAGAAACCTGCACGAGTTAATAAAAAATTAATGGAGCCTTACTGAAAGAATGAATCCTAGCTGATAGATAATTTCATGCTAACTGCAATGTGCCTGTGCACATGACGAAATAGCAAATCAATTAAGAAATTTGATGTAGGAGATAGCACGAAAATACCTTACACCAAACTACTTGCACGCCTTTCAAATCTTTGCTGTCGCGGCGATTCGGCGCATGTTGCGTACATCTGGACCAGCTGGTGTGCAAGCATTGTGCAACACAATGAAAGCGGCTGCATAACTGGCGACATTAAACCAATAAGCAAAAAAAATACACGTGCATTCCAAAATGTCCCATTAGCAGCTTAGAGAGAACGTTACGATTCCGAGCTAAGCACTAAAATTTTAGATTAACTAATAGCGGAGGATTGTTTCATCCGCTTCCTAGCATGAAAAATGTCAAGAGCAGTATTTCACATTAGGTGACAAAACGCACAGACAGAATCACGCTTTGCTGAAGCGCCCAGTCAGCCACCGCAGTTTTTAGCAGAAATATGCAGACCGTTGCTGTAATGATACCAAACACAGTCATATCGCATGCTAGGCTCCTGTGCTGTAATTCAAGCATAAGAAGAAGCTCACGGCTAACGTTGGGTAGAAGCTGCTGCCAAAAGCAGAGCGGACAGTCGCATGCTCCGCTGCTCTAGACAAGTGTATCTCTATACAAAGACGTCACAAAGCAACCACCAGGTTCTGCTTGTTACACTCAATTTCGACTAACTTTCTTAAAATGTATTATGGTTTCAGCATGCCATCAATTAAAGGATAATGACGAGCACTCATCTAAACAGTTCCATGCCATCCAAAAATAATAACAAACACTATTAACAAATAAGCACTCTTAACAGAAAAATATTTAAACTTACTTAAATATATAACTCTTTTAAACAGTCAATGCTAAATACGATCACGTGTTCTTATATTCCATGCATAGCAATTTCGTTTTGACAAGAAAAAAAAAGGGGGGAGCACATACCCAAGTGATTTCGCAGAGCCTGTGGTTTTGTGACTTGGTTACATATTTCGCACACAACTAAATAGAAATCATCCCACGCCGGACAAAATCCAAAAAGTTCCATATCTGAAACAGAATGCGCCGCAAACGCCCATTTTTTCGCTCGTCACGTCACCGAACGGGTAAAAGCAAAATAAAGAAAACAATTCAAGCACATCGAAGCACGAAACGTTACGGTGGTTTCAGAACACACGCAGAAACGTTTAAACGGAGAAAAGAAAAAAGATGGAAGCGCCACATGAGTGCACCACGATATCTAAGGGTGCGACAGAAGCTGGCTTTGAACGTAACTACGAGCGCGGCACATTGGTGATGAACTTTTTTTTTTTTTTTCGTAACGCGACTTCGCGTGAATGAGTCGCGACAGAGGCGCAAGGAATCCGCGAGTTTCTCCGTGGGCAACGGAGGCTAAAAAGTATCCGTTATCCGCTGCCCTCCCCAAATTTTGCGCTTCCTGAACGGAGCCGAAGCGAGACACGGCTCTGGGCACGCAGCCGTCTCTACGGAGCACACAGCTTGTTGGCTACTTGAAGGTCACAGTTTGTCGGGGGGGCCAGGTCCCGAATTCGTGCACAATGCGGCGCAGACAACGGCTTTTCTCGAAACGTGCAATCGGTTCGAGTCGTCAGCCGGCAGGCAGTACGATCCGACTGGAAAGCGAGTTACGGGGGAGGGCTTGTTTTCATCGGGAACCACCACGAGAGACACGAAACGGCGCACCAAAACACGAGCGCTCGGCAAGTGTTCGGTTCGCGCGCGCTCACGCCGTTCGAAAGTGCACCGAACGCTTCGACAGTCACGCTTATTAACCACACATGTCAGAGTAAAGACAGAGAAAAAGTTGAAAAGGAACGAGAATACGTGGACGAGGTTTCCTTACCCTCTTTTCTTAATTTCATGGCATCGCTCTCTCTTTTCGCCGTCTCTGCCTCCGTATCGGCTTCTTCGTCTGCTGAAAAGCAGGATATCCCGTAAGTGCTCGTCTCAGGGCGTCACGTTTGAAAGCGATCTCCAAAGAGAAGATGAGACACGCTAAAATAAGAAGTACGTATGTAACTGTGTCAGCGGTGCTTGTTCTTATTCGTTTAGTCTTAGCTTGTGTCAGGGGAGCCTCTCTGCCGCTGTCCGCGGCCACAGGAATTCAGCCATCACTTGTCACACACGTCACCAATGGAAGCGGAAGCAAGAAAGAGCCGTTCTACTCACTTTCTGGACTCCTGAAGCCGATAGTTTCGGCCCAAGAATTCCATGACTGTCCTTCAGTAGCCGACACACTATTAGGTGCCGCCATTTTGGGAAGATCTGGTATTTTTTTGCTCGTTTCTTGTTGCCGCTGAAGAAAACAGATGAAAACGTAGTATACCGACGTCACAGCCCAGCCAGACGTTTATTGGTTGCCATGTATCGCCACCTCTCGTTGTCTTGGTAAAACGCGAGCTGCGTTGCATTTGATGACTATAAAAACTAATTTCTTACATAATGTATTTAACTAATTTCAACAAACTTATATAAGTGAGCTTTGCTTCGTATTTGCAGAGTCAGTAACAACATAACTAACATATGTGTGTGACAACGTTTAGTTTCGGTTCCGTTTCTTTTGTACACTTTATGTTTTAATTTATTCCTTAGTATTGAAACAACAGAAAATAAACACTTGACTTTTTTATATTTTAAATTTTGCTGCTTTTATTTTTTTGTGCTGAGCTTGCTCACTATTGCACAAATACGTCTTTGAGCCACAAACAAAACTAGCGTCCTGTTGCGGAGTCTCGCGCATCGTTTCAATTTCCTGGGCGCGCGAGCACTACGTATGTTTAATGAATTTGTTGTTTGTGTTGTTGCTGCGTCGTCGGCTTCGTAGTAAGCGTGATGTTATGCGTTACGAGCGAAACAGCGCTCAAAGGAACGCCGTGTTCTTTCTGGCTCGTCCTTGACTGTGGGTATACATGCGTGTTCTTATTTCCTCGCCACTCGCCGTGCGCTCGCTAAAGGACAGCGCGGTTGGGATTGTTTAGTCGGCCAGTGGAACCGTTGTCATGGTGTTGACCCTGTTCAAACTTTTTTGACAGCTAGCGCTGCTCCGCTGCTATCACGAATCGTTATGCTTCGCCTCCTTCGCCTGACTGGTGCCTCTGCGATGTTCTCGTGTAATTTCATTGCTAGGTCTCGACGCCTTTTCGTCGTGAGTTAACGAGTTGGCGTCCGACGGGAGCATGATTCCGGGTAGTGATGCCCGCGATCAGTTCCAGTCATCCGAGCCGACGCACTGGGTTTCCACGGCGCCCACGGGCTCGGAAGATGTAATCACGCTCACCAAAGCACAGTTACAAAAGCTGCTCAGAGCACTGGAAACACAAGGTGGGAACCTTTGTAACATCATTGCCACTTTTTCTCTCTTGTAGCGTGGTGGCCCCTTCGTTTAGTTTAGCGCCGCAAAAATAAATTGCGCAACGGGCACGTCAGCTTCAATTTCATTCGGTGTGCTATCCGGTGTGCTTGCCTGCCTCTTTCGTTTTTGTTAATCTTGTCTGGCCTCCTTGACTGTAATATCATGTACTTTTTCGAAAGAGCAAAATTGTAGTTTCGGCGAAAAAAGCGGTGCTGATGAAAACGAAGTCCGAAAGTGCATTTGTGAACATTGGGTGTGCGCCACAGGCAATAGGTCAACAAGAACAAGCGCAACCATTTGTACTGTCAGCACCATCATGAAATAATTTTAAGATGCAGAAATAAAAATTAATAGACTAGAGGAAGGTCCTTCTTTCTCATTTGGTTTCTGTGAGGTACCGTTTAGATTTCAGAGGATGTATTCAGAGGAATGCACGCTGTTTTCTCGCACTGCCTCAATTCTAGTAATCTCTTAGAAGAGTCTATAATGCTCGCACGCAGTTGTTAATGTTCACATTAAAAAAAAGTGTTGTAAAGTGGGATCGCCATAAACATGTTTTGTACATTTCAGAGCCCTCTGATACGATAGCAACTGCCTCAGTGCCAACCATCACGAACGGCCTTAGTAAACTGCCCATCTCAGGAGATGACTGGTGAGGTCTCCGTTTTTACATTGTTACAAACACACATATAGTATGACTTGATCTTGTTCAGCCATACTTCCCAAACTTTGAACTATTTAAGGCGTCATAAACAGCATAATATAAGGGTTCTTGAAGAACCACTGACAGCGAAGTTCTTGCTTTTGCCTTTTTTAGTGTAAGTTGTGGCTTTGTGTCCGGTAATCCTGAAACTAAATTTTAAATGAAATGCTCTAACATATTATATTACTAATTATAGCATTGTGATTTGCTACCAATTTTGCGTCGCTTTGAAATACCCACCTAAATCTATGAGAAACTAGTGCCCTACAGTGGAGAAGTGCCTAAGATCACATACACTCGAGCTTTGTTGATATCAAAAGTGCAGTTTTCAAATCGGGGCCTCGCGTGTGGTGAAGATTGAAATCATGTGGGTGGTTCAGTATGGAGTTGAGTCTGTTGAGTGTGTGTCCCCCCAGGAAAAATAAAAGGCATTCTTGGCCTAAGCAGCCAGAACCACCTTGAGTGCAACCCAACAACAGAGCTAGAGGGGTGAGGAACAATAGCCTTTGCCGGGTGCAATTTATGGTATTGTTTACACCCCAGAGATCTTCTGTGATGTGGACAATACTTACTTTACTTGTGAAACATCACATGGGGCCTCAAACTATGTCTTACCAGTGGCGAAGTTGCGAGATGCGGCCTACTCAAAAGAGAACTTGCTGTTACTTTAAAACAAAATTAAAATATCTTAAACCTAATACGTTCACCAGTAATAATTGGTCAGAAGTGCCCATGTATGCAGGAAAATTGAACGACTCAGACATCTCGAGGTTTCAATTTTGCAGTTGGGGGTTCTCTAAAGGAGTGCATCAGAACAAGGGCTTCTTCTTCTAATAATTGAATACATCGGTGGACCCCATTCCGGCTCAGGTTTGATTACCAACTGTGGCATAGAAGCAGAATTTAAAATATGTTCAAGTACTTAGATTTACATATGATATGAAGAACATCAATTTGTCAACATTAGGAGCACATCCCTCTCTGGAGTCTCTTCAGGATGTTGCATTCTGCAATTTTATCTGATTTTGAAATGCCATGTCTGATTAAAAGATGTGTATTACATTGCGCAGTGAGGGATACAGTCAGAATTTTGAAAGCTGGTGTGATACTTCTGTTTCCTTCAGCGCGAAGTAACGCTTTGTTGCTTGACTGTGCTTTTTATTGTAGCATGTTCACTAGCAAACTTTTGAACAAGATCAAATTCTTCCTTTGAGTGGCCTTCATCAAATGATGTTCTGATGAACTCATTCATCATGGAAGTTTAGCATCTAAGGCCTTTTGCTGCTAAGCTTGAGGATATGGGTTTAATTTTTGGTCCCTGGGACCATACCTTGATGTGATTGAAATGCAGGAACACTAGTGTACCATGAATTTTAGTAACACCAGGAGCACAAAATTGGTAATCTCTCGACTATGGCGTAGCGAATAATCATGTCGTACAGCTTTTGAACACCTTGTCTTGAAGGGGCTCTATAACACTTTTTGGGAATGATCAGAAAACGCTGCCGATCAGTAGTTAAGGCCCCAAGAACACGCAGGCCAATTATTGTAGCACAGTAGGCGGGCTAGAATTTACAATAAATTCTCAGTAAGCTAAATATCGCTTTCTCTTCTCTCAACAAATGATGCTGCAAGCTCGAAATCACTTAAGCCCCAGGCCTAGTATCGGCCATTAGCTGACTTGAGCATGGCACCTTCAGTTGTTACTGGGGTCGTCGCAGCAGGTTGCGACTTGTCCATATGTGCGTGCTATTGCACTGAAAAGCCACGTATTTGAATTTAAAAAAAAAAGACAGAGTAAAAGTGCTCAAGGTTACGAGGCTCGTGTGACGCGCTTTCTTACCCTGTGTCATCCTTCCCTGCTTAGCTTCTGGCACTTTCGTCTGGACGAGAGAAAAGAGAATGCAATTGCAGCGCACAACAAATCTTTGTAACTCCGCCCGTACTGAACAATTTTTGAAAATTTTTGCGGTGGTGAACTCGTGAGGTAATAAGCTCCTTCAGTAAATCCATTCCATGGCTACTCAGAAAAGTGTTGTAGTGCCCTTTTAAAGGAAAAGACTACTTGTAATATAATTATTTGAGGTTTTGTTTATGTATTTCCAGTGACTCAGGGTTCCCAACATGGTCTCGCCACGGTGGTCTAGTAGCTAAGGTACTCGGCCGCTGAGCCGCAGGTCGCGGGGTCGAATCCCGGCTGCGGGGGCTGCATTTTCGATGGAGGCGGAAATGTTGTAGGCCCGTGTGCTCAGATTTGGGAGCACGTTAAAGAACGCCAGGTGGTCGAAATTTCCGGGGCCCTTCACTACGGCGTCTCTCATAATCATATGGTTGTTTTGGGACGTTAAACCCCACATATTAATCAATATGGGTTCTCAACATGCTTAGGCATTTTCCTGTTTTGAAAAAGGAACCCTGCCATGATTCTGGGTTACCATCATCAGTTATTTCTTGCAGCTTGCCAAACTGGGTGAAGCGTAACAGTAGAGATCCCCGTGGCACTCAGCACTCCAATGAGTCGTCTCTCGCTGGCTTTTCTCAGCGACTTTCAAACTCACATCCTGAGCTCGGAACAGCATCAAGCCGTCCTTTCTCCAAGCTGGCTCAGAAGCAGCGACAGTGGGAGAAGGAGAGAGGTTGGTGAAACATTTGCATTTATTCACCTGGAATTCGAAACTGTTTTTGTAGGGCACCTTCAAATAGTTTTGACGATTTTTTACGAACCCATCAAGTCCGTTGTGCGAGTCCTTTGCATTATTAGCAGACAGATTGGAGAAGACTGTGTAAAGGGTGTAATGCTCATCATTACACTGCCCCAGATGGTGCTACGAATTGTAGCACACACTGTTTCCCAGCCATGCCAGTCTTGGGAGGCAGCACTGTTTTTGAACGTCTCTCATGTGGCTAATCAGATTTACTCTTCAACGTTTGTACTATTTGTAGAGGCCCTGTTTGGGGTGTCACCTGGTGACACGCTGGTGGAATATTTCAAAAGGCAAAGTTCAGCCACAATCGCTCGGTGAAGAAATTTAAGAACATGAGCATGTCTTAAAGAAGGGGAAACTTTAACTGCCCGTGACTCTCTTGTTACAAGGTGCTTCGTAAATTTATGTAGAATAACAATTATAAATGAACTTCAGCTGGTGAACGAGTTTCTCAGAACTTATTGATTTCATAGTAAAGACGCAAATACAACTACAAAAAATAAAGTAAAAATTTCTCTTTCTTACATTTTCAGCTGAAACTTTTGCCTCATGCATCAGTGGGGCATCACGAATTACTGAGTATTTTACTCTGGTTGCAATGGCAAAGCCAGTGGGCTGGTTTGGAAGGTTCAAACCGCACCCTTCCCTAGAGTTTGTATGTTTATATAACACAACACATGCAAGCACACATACGTCAAGGAGGAGGTCAGAACCACTCCCCTGAGAAAAAAAACGCCAAGCCTGCACTTTTATAATCACTCTTTGGGTAGCTGCTACAAGTACACTTGCTGGGTACTCACTACGCCATATATAATCATAATTTTTGTGTAGTTGGCTGGCATTCACTATGCTATCCTTCGTCATTTTTTGGAGAAGCGTGGTATTCGCTAAACTCTTATGCCTGAAGTGATGGGTATGCACCAGAGTTAGCAAGTGATCAAGAACAAGCTATTGCAATGGGTTGCTGCATTGGACGACCCACTCATTACGCAGTTCGTAATGTGTGATGCCTGGTTGGTCCTCTGATGTTCTAAAGTGCTTCATTACTGATATTATCGCGATTCCTCTCTCGACATCAAGCCTGCCTAAGGCCAGTTTGGAAACGTTACAAGCACCGGTGTGGCTCAGGGTAAAATACTGGGCTGGCAGGCAGTAGACCTGGGTTCGAATCCCATCGTGTCCTTGGGGGTTTTTTATTTACTGAGTTGTTTTTTTTTTGTTATTTCGTGCGATAGTGGTTACGGACGCCGGCGGCAGCAGCAAACAACGGGTGCCGCACACAAACCGTGTTGATCTCATGACAGCTTTCGCTGTAAAAATTTTTGGTGATGCTCCTGACTTTTTGGGGTGAAAAAGATTGTGAAGACTTATCTGGGGAAGTTTTTTCTTTTGCCCTTCTCTTGTCTATACATTGCTTCATTTATAATGAACATTTGACTGTTCCTGAGTTTATGCTTTGAAAATTTGATGCTGCAGCACGCTGATGTGGGAACATATTGCCAATGTTGCCGCTCGTCTTTTGATTTTACCTTTTCGTCGTAGCCAAGCCTCTCGTTGTGTTAATTTTGATCAATCTGTTGCTGTTGCTGAGTATTCTACAATACTGTACACTTAGCTGTAATATTTTCAAATGCATTAAAGATAATTACATACTCAAGTAATTAACCAAAAGTACTATTTCCAATCTTGCTTAGCTGAAATGCAGGAGTGGCATCCTTGGGGGCGTCCAGGTGGGGGCGCACCGCGCTGCCAACCTGTAGCAGCTGTGCCACCACGCACTGATGCCCAGGTGAGTGATTGAAAGGGAATGCAGCTTTGGAATATTGCTTCTTTTAATTCCTAGTTCGTCGAATTTTTAATCTCGCACGCTCACTCAAATCCTTTGATTGCTGCATACAAAGAAGCATTTCAGGGGTAGTTGATTTTCTTTTTGTTCAGTGTGTAACAAATAGAATGACATTTGCGCCTTACTAACCACTTGAAAAAGTGATATAACAGGGACTACTATATAGTAGTTATAGGAAGTGCAGTAGTGTCATAAATTTGTCATAACGTTAAGTGCAGATGATGGAACAGACCATCACTGTGTGTCATTAGGCTGTGTTGCTGAGCACTCGAATACTCCCGGATTTCGCTTGTTGGTTTCAGACAGAAAACTGACTTTTCAGTGAAACCCATGAAATGTCTGAGGGAGTCTAGTAGAAGGCTTACGGGAATCTAACATACATTTTCAGTGTACCACATGTCAATGTGAACAGTTTTGCCTGCTCACTGAAGTCGGTTTCAGATGCAGCCCATGTTGGTCAGATCCAATTGTCACGATCAGCTTTATTACCTAAATTTCGATACATAAATTCAAGTACGTATCAAGAGCAAGGTAGCTTGAAAAGTATGTTTATCTGACGAGTCGGTTATAAATAACTGTTAGGCATGCAGAAAAAAAATTGAACCATCTCCTGCTAAAGGGAACCATGCGCAGAAGCAAAGTAGCGGGGACTAACGCTTAACACTGGCAGCGGAGTTGACGCTGGCGCTCATCAAGCGAAAGCGCTAAGTAAAGGCGCCCTTGACTGAATTCGGAACACGCGATCCAGTGCCTATATATAAGGGGTGACCAGTGAACGATTGTACAGAGTGAGCAGTCGGTTTATTTACTAGCAGATGGCCTTGCGAGGCGAGAATGGAAGAAAGGGGACAGACAGTTTTGCGGGTGTCACATGCCGCGAACGGCGACAGGCTAGGGAGATAGTGACGTCAACGTGCACACACTGCGAGAGAAGTCGTGACCTACTTGGCCCCGTCCCAACAGCTGCGGCCAGGGGAGCGCGATGCAGACGAAGGGACCGCGCTACACAGGCTAGTCAAAGAGCTGCTTCGCATCTAAAAGAAGGAACACAGCTCCTGCTTTGACGCCTGATTGTTTGCAGGTTCTGAGAGTTCAAGCGACCACTGCCGCGTCTTCCACGGGGCCCTATCCTTCGCGAGCACCATCTCCACCAACTCTGCCGCACTTGCCGCCAAATGGAGGAGGGGTGAGCCCTACGTTTGTTCGCAGGGTGCCCCCTTACCTTAGGAGTCAACTGCCATTCGGGGTAGGTTTGCGTGGACCACACATTCTTAACAGCTCTCACTTTTACGAACAAGTTAGCAAACAATGGCAGACCGTGAAAATGTTTATTTTGATCTCTGTTACGAGAGTGCAGTATTAAGAAATACGGGAATAATTAACACACATGGATGTATGAAGGCTTTTGACAGCTGGCTGTACTTCCTGTATTCTCATACTATAAGTGCTATGGTAGTGGAGCAAATATTTGTGTACAATAAACGCAGGTAGTATGAATATCTCGAGACTGCATCAGCCAGGCAGCCTTGTTATGCCTTTATGGCAATTCTGTCTACATATTGACAGAGTTAGAGATACAAATGGCGATAGATTCTGATTCAAAAGGGATCTGCTATGGCAAACCAGTTTTTATGCAGTAGTTTAAAATGTCCACTTAAGCAAGAACTGCATGGAGCTTTCAAAGTGTGTTGAAACCTAGATTAGTCCACACTTTGTTAAAAGCAGAAAATGAGGTTGAAAGCTGCTGCTTTGGCAGCTTGTGTGGTGTTCACGTGTATGCAGTGCTCCTTTTTGGTAGGGCACACATAATGAGAGATAATGTAATACGTGATAATTGTATGCAGTAAGCCATTTATGTATAATAGCTCAATTCTTGATATGTTTTTTCCAGCCCACTTACGATGTGCAGGAGGATGAAAAGGACGAAGTGAAGAAGCAATGGATCCAAGAGCTTGGTTAGTGATGAAATTCATTGTGGCACTTAGGTTGATTGTTTTATTCTTTTATTGATATCTGAGCTCTACCTAGTGCTTTTAGCGCTTTGGGTGTAGACTTCTGCAGAACAGATCGTCTTTTGTGGCTCACTGTAACTACAGTGCCTCCACTTACACACCACACTCGCTTTCACCAAGTAGTGGCAACCTTTGTGTGTACGGCAGTTGCAGAATTCGTCGCTCACACCAGCCACGGTTCTGGAAATTTCACCTTTGCACTGTCCTATTCCCGAATTTCTCCTTTCGCTTATAATTAATGCTTGCCCTTCTTTAACGCTTGGCCTTGCTTCCATTGAGGTGATGTATTTTCCTCTTGATGATGGAAACTAAAGGGGATGACAGTGGCTTTAGCTACAACATGCGGCGGTAGGCAACATGGCACTTGCCACACTATGTATTGTTAACACATGTGGATCATTCATTCTGAAAGTGCTAGTTACAGTTCTCCATGGTGTGAGTTACTTCTCTTTTTCTCTCGTGTACACGCACACACACATTAACACATTCAAATGTAGTAGACTCTGATTAAACAGAACTCATAAGAATTAGGAAAGTATGTTCGAGGTCCACTTACTGTGAGCTGAACGGAGGTTCGAATTCGAAACCAATGATATCAGAGGCAAGTGTTCCACTCAAGTTGAAATTCTGTTTCAACTCCATCAACTTACTGTACGTATCTTGAGAAACTGAAATTGAGGATTGGGCACTCTGACTTCCATGCGTGAGCACTATAGCTAATACTCCATTGTTTGTGTGTGTATAGAACTTTGTAAACACAAATATACTCAATGTGATATATTTCCTCCTTCCTAGTGTTTATTGAAGTTTCAATGATGCTGTTTGTCTGTTCGCATCAGAACACCAGCGAACAGAGAACCACCGTCGAGGCGTGGAGAACCGGCACGCATCCCTGAGCAATGGCTCCTGCTGGGCCGACAGCGAGTCTCTGGGGTCCGAAAAGTTGGTCAGGCCGGGGGAGGATTGCTCAGAGAGGTGAGGATGGACTCTAGGTGTTCTTTGGTAACTAGGGGTTTTACGGTATGGCGTAATATTAACGAAATTGTGTTTTTTGTATTAACTTTTCCATAATTATAGACAGTATTTACATCTTTAAGAAAATTGATGGCTAGCAAAGTAATCTATAATAAAAAGTTATTTTAGCCATAACCAGGAAAAGACGAGGTCGAGAAATTCAATGAGATATTGCATTTTTACTTGTTGTATTTCTAGTCTTTTGTTTCTTAATGTTTGTATTTTTAAAGTACTTTCTACTAACTTGCTCAATCCAGGACCCTTTCAAGGTCTATAGTAATGTGTTAGAGAGTTATCATTTAATGAGAGATAAGTTGTGAATTACGTATAGTTCGAGTTGCAATCAGTGCTGGTGTGCTAAGTAACCCTTCAACGCTTAAAAAAATAGCAGCCAGAAAACAGCAATTGAAGGTGATGCCTAGGTACAACCTTTTCTTTTTTTTCTCACCAGTTTCCGGAAAACCAGAAGGTGGCATTCATTAGAGGATTTTTTTTTGTGATCAGCAATGCTCTAAGTGCCGCCAGTAATTTGCACACTTGTTTTATTTCATCTTTTGTTTCAACAAATTAGTATGGTTTCTTTTTTTCTACAGTGTGTGGTCTGTTACACGAGGCCAAGGTTTCAGGCCTGGTACAGATGCCAAGATGTCAACGAGTGATGAAAAGAGGATCAGGGCACTGGAATACCAGCGAGCTATTCAGGTCATTCAGTGATTCTGTATTTTTGCTCAGAAGTAGTAAACAATGTTTTTTGCCTGTTTTGATAACTTATCGACAAAACCCTCAGTAATGAAATTGCTGAAGTAGCGATTTTTGCTCGTTCTTGAGAGAACTTTATTGTAAAAAAAAAAGAAAAATACACACACCAGATACTGTGTGCAATGCAATCAAAATTTATTTAAGGAAGTAGCTGATCTTGCTTTGTTTCACGTTGCTTTTAAGGGGCATGATGGCTCGAGCCTCGCAGCTTAATTAGCTTTGCATAGCTTTGTCGTCATCATATGAGCCAAAGAAAGTAAAATAATGTTGAAAGCACTAAGAAGTTCACATGAGCTAACTTGCCTTTCTTGCATTTTGCTGCTTTTCTCACTTTCATTGTTGAACACCTATTCTTCGTGCACACTTTCTAGGATAACATCGTCAATGAACTCTTCATGAACAATTGGGACAGGAACCGTCATGTGCCAACGTAATTACTAATAGGAAGATGTATGGGGTCTCCAAATGAGAGCCCATGCTCTCTGATCAAATTGACATGGTTGACACAGTCAAACACACATTTATTTAACTACTTTAACTAACCACAATGATGATATCATCAACTGAATCAAAATACATCGAGTTGTCAACGCGCTAAAACAAAATTACACAATATTACAATACACTCTATCAGTATAACAACAAACACAAAGTAATGCGAAGGCGGCGGCGCCAATGTTTGAGTTACCGCTAGGGACCCATGTAGTACGGCCCACGGTCGCCGCACCCTGCGGGGCTCCATCGAGAAACAACCATCAGCGCCAGCTGCCACATGCCAAAGAGACTCGCCAATTCTTTCTGTTCACCCACCTAACCTCGCCGCCAGGCGTCACTGCTGGTGCTACCGGGCTAACCATGATGATGGTGGTGGTGGGATTCGTGATGAAGGCTCTCAAGCACAGCGCCACCTACGGCTCAACGGTTGTGAACACTAAATGCGGCCTATCCGTACATGTGCACCACAAGGCGTAAACGACCTTACAGCCGTTAGCAAGAGCTGTTCTCATTGAAAAAACAGGAGTCTTGTTGCTATCATCATCATCATCATCCAACAGAATGTGAACAGCAATGGTTGCGTTGATGCTTGTTGGTGGAAATGTGTGTGCTTGACTTGTTAAATGAACGGTACTGCGATTCGCCTGCAAGTTTAAAAAAATGTTTGGGATCACTAACTGATACTTTCATCATTGCGGGAATGCTTTTTAAAAAATCTGCTGCGAGAATTTTGTTCTTGAGGGTCTTTGTTATGGGGAAGTGCAACTGTAATAATTAATGTTTATTATCAATTGCATCACCTGTTGCTGTTACTTTTTGTGATGAACAAGAAAGGTAATGAAAACAGTGAGACTAGGCCACTGATTCACTCCCTTTGTATTTACGTCATCTTTGGTGGCCTTGTACTGTTTGAAGAACATTATGGCGGTGCGTTACAACAAACACGCCGGTACGCTCGCAAGCGCTGCACAAAAAGCCAGAGCAATGGAAAATGTAATGCAAACCATCTTTTCGACACCTGTATGCAAAGAGGGATGGGCAGCTGCTGAAACCTGGCCCAAAAAAATTATCAATATTAGTAGGCTTGTGCCAATAGTGAATTTAAGGTTGAAACAAATAGTGATTTCTGTTGAATAATTTTGAATTGAATTTTAATACACTCAAACCTTGATATAACGAAACTGGATATAACGAAATATTGGTTATAACAAAGTAAACTAAAAATATTTTTGCAAAACATGGTGTTAAAAATAAACCATTATAACAAATTTTTGGATATAATCAAGTTATTTCATGTAAGATGCAACTTTGTTATAATGAGGTTTGAGTGTATCACATATTATAAAAAAAAGGGCATAGTTGTCATACCCAACTAACCTGCACAACATTTCTTAATAAGTGAAACAAGGCTTGTGCAAATACCATTCTTTTTGGTTTTTTCGGCTGAAAGGAAGTGGAAACCACTTTAATAGTAGCAGGATTTGACTTTCGGTAGTATGGAAGTGATAACTTGTAAAATACATTGTTTTAAAGTTTAGGATACTTAGAGCAAATGAGCTGATACAACAAGCTTTGAAACTTTTATAAATGGGGAATCATTGTGAAGATGATCTGTTCTTTCAACCTTGAAGTAAGGCTTCGCAGCAATACGAATTTCCTTTTTTTAGGTGTTTTCATGGCTTATGACCCTTTTACCATAGTGAAATCACCTTTTACTGGAGGTTACGCACGAATATACCATTATTTGTTTCATTCAAATGCTTCAAAATTTTCAATCATTTCAATTAGAATCGAAGCAAATTTAAATACAGTAATATTAGTTCGAAGCATTCCAATATTCGCACCAGTCGGGATATTTGTTAGTATTTGTTAGGAAAAATGCACTTTCCTGGCTTCTGCACAGTGCAATGTTTGATATACCTAGTATCTTATGCTTTGCAGTGCAGCAGTTCAATGCATGTGTGCACCAGCTCGAAATTTTGATTGGGAACTTCTAGGGGATTTCTCAACTGATTCATCTGAGTATGATATCTTTGGGATCTAATGTAGCAACAATGACGCGACATGCACATCAGTTTCCGCCTTCTTCACTGCCTGAGCTACTTGATGAGTTCTCGATACTGTTGAGTAGTCACTGGCTGTTATTGCGACATCCTGTATTTGAGCAGGTTTCGTTGACACGTGCCTTTGTTGCTTCTCACTGGCAGGCCCAAATGCAAGAGAAACAGGAGCGGTTGCGTGCCGAGCGAGAAGCCAGGATTCGGGAAGAGCGGGAGCAAGAACGTCGCCTGGAGGAAGAACGACGAAAGCTGGAGCTTGAGTACCAAGAAGAGCAACGTAAACTGAGAGAGAAAAAGGTGGGCTTCGATACCTTCAACTGACACAGCAATAAATCAACAACAAAAGTTAATGTTGACGTTTAAATTTCGGCATGTGTTCCAGATGGTGAATTTTTTACGGATCATGCATTACTTTTCGTGGTGCTTTACGAAATGCAGTACCATGAAGTTCTGCTATATATCTGGTATTCAGTACTTATAAAAATGTGCCAATTACAGCCCAAATGTGCCTTCAGATTTACTTCATCATTCAAATACTTTCACATGTGAGAATCCAGCCTTTGATTATTGCACTTCTGCATGATATCGTTACATTATTTCTTTCTTTCACCTTCACAGGAACGAGAAGAGAAGGCACGTCTTCTGCTGATAACCAAAATGCAGCAGGCTGCGGAGGAGGCAGAAGCTCTACGAAAAGCCAGGCGAAGCCAGAGGTTTCACCACTTGTCGCAGCCAGATCAAGGGGCGCAGCAACTTGGCAACTTTGACTCTGGTGGCTCAGTTGATGCGGACTTTTCCACGTCTCTGGAGAGGATATCGTCATCCATGGCTGGAATATCAAACATCGCCAGTGAAGAACAGACCGATCTGTCAACACAGCAGAATTTCTCGTGTAAGTTGACTCACCGAGTTGATGTTGACATTTAAATTTGTGCATGTGTACTTGCACGCTCAGTACGCTATGTGTACGCAAGTAAATTGTATTGGCAGAAAAGGGGGAGTGTGGGACTTTCCTGAAGAAAAGGAGGAGAGGGTAGCCTCGAGAAAGATGACTTGGGATCACGGAGCAAAAATATTCGAGGAGAAGAAACTCCCTGGCCGCGGCAGCACACGAGGGTGACGCAATAGCGTTGGGGAGGGATGCAATTTAAGTCGACGCTGGACAGATGACGCTTTCGGCATGTTGCCATCTTTTACATGCACTTCTATGGAGAGGACACATAAAAATCGCGATAGCGCCTCGTCGGTTGTAAAATTTTTGAGATTTTGTCTGGAACATTAGTCGGTAAACGCTACAGATATTTTGGCTGCAGTTACTAATTGATACTGTCAGAATTGTAGGCCATACAGCACTCAAAATAAACTGCTAAATGGTCTCTGAGCAGACGACGTCAGCTGCACGCACATGCATCCACTCCTCACTCGCATGTTGTGCGTGTGCTTGTGTTGGTGGCCTTGGAAGAGAAAAATTCCCAACAAGCAGCCGCGAATCCCTTCGCAATCTTGGCTTCCTCGCGTTGCACCCGCAGCACTGACTTGGCGAACTCCTCGGTGTCAACACGCACTTTTCACACCGCAATGAAGATGAGTGCTTTGAGCCTTTCGACAAGTAGTTCTTGGGGATGAGGCGGAAGTGTGTTGTGCTGAACTGCAGCAGCGGGTAGGCATAGTGTTAGGATAAGGTAATTTTCTTCCAAGTTTTTAGTGAGGTTGGAAGAGTTGGCTTGCGCTACATTAAGAAAAGACTGAGAGCTGATGCGTTGTGACTGTGTTTGCGAGAAGCACTCGTCAAAGAGGTAATAGACAAGCGGCGCTATTTGGGTGAGCATGGTGGCAAAGTTATCTTGGAGAAAGGGAAACTGCGAGTGTTGTTACTAGACGCCGTGCCTTCAATCTTTCCGCACTGTCTCAACTACTTGTCAACTGTTCACAAAAACGTGTGCACACATGCGTGCACGTGCACACGCACACACATATGCATGTGAAAAATGAAGTGGACCTCGCGTGAAGTGCAGAAAGCATGCAACAACAGATACTTTGGTGACTCAAGATGAACATGCCTGGTCCTTTTATTTCCATCTTAATTTTGCGGTCACAAACAGCGTTGATTCCTCACTCACAATCAACAATCCCAATGCCAGCATTTCTGCAAAACGAGCGCATTAACGCTTTCGCATTAAAGTTTGGAGCTGGCAAGGACACACAAAAACAGACCACTAGGATGTGAAGCACAAATGGCGAATCAGCTCGGAGTGGCCTTGAACAAGTGTGTGGCGAGAACGGCGTGCATGTTTTTTCTTCTCCACTCGCTCAGTTTCATGAAAGAGGGCGCGTCAGTGCTGTGCCCGATTGCTTGACTTTTGACTTTTTGAGAACGCCCTAGCGTGCGCAGTTATGCCTCCTGAAGAATCGTTGCTCTGTGCTTGAGACTGATATTTATTGTCTTGCTGAAAGAAGGGGAGTAGCAATGGGAGCCTATAGATTGCGCAGCTCTAATGATTGTGATGCTTTTATGTGTTTTCTTTGTTTTTATTTGCTTGTTTGTTTGTTTGAGCACAGTGAGGAAAATCATATGACAAATGAAACCATCTTGAAAAAAGGGGAATTGTTTAAGGGACTCATTTTTAACACTGACGCTGTTGTAGCTTGCCATAGTTCATGTGGTGTCACCAGAAAAGCATCATCATGAACAGTCACATGCTCTCTTCGTTCTCCTCTTCTTCATCGTCGTCTTCATCTTCTTTGTGAAATTGTTCTGAATTAACAATGGTAGCCTTAATTACAGTTTGTGTTAGAGCATTGACGATTCAATTTCGGCATTACCAGGTGCAAAGCTACTACAGAGTACTGTAAAAAGTCGCAAAGAAAGCTTTCACTGTAACTTTGGTATGTGCAGTTGTGGAGGTTTTACATTGACCTATCTCACAGCTGCGCAGATGTCATCCCAGGCTGCGCTCTCAGTGCCTCAGCTGCAAACTTCCGTGCCAACAACGATGGCTCCCTCAGCCACAGTGCGTCCTCTGCGAGGCGATCATAGCATTGCAGCGGGTAACAAAGTTCAACGAGAAATGTGCAGCCAGACGGACGGCAGCCTCTCCTCCATTTGCTCCAGCCGCTGTTCCCTGCTCTCGTCTGCGGGAACGGTGGAACTGAGCCCCTACATCAAAAACAGGGTCCTGACGCCGACGAAAGTGCGCATTGCCCAGCACGCCCTGCGATTCCAGCAGCAGCGCTGTCGCGAGTTTGGCACCCAGACGGACATATCGCTGCCCTGTGGATGGAACCACAGCATCCTCTGTGACAACACAATACAGCTGGCTCAGGAGTTTGAGACCAGGTGGGGGCATCTTTACTGTAATGTCTGTGTATTTGTTTTTGTTTTTTCATAGCAACTAACATAAATCATTCAAAGTGTTAGTGACACATTCTATCTGTTAGCACTGGATTTACAGCTGGAAGTTCTTTCAGTTCACCGTGTTCTTTCTAACATTGTTCAACTTGGTTGATAGGGAAATGCTCTGTCCTACCAACATGTTAGAGATGCAGGGCAGCTGTTTTGTACACTTTCTGGGATAGAATAAAACAAAAAGTCTCGAGTGGACAAGAGGGAGTTAAAAGACAACAGGCGAGTCGAAAGAATTCAGAAATGCTTTGAATGCAATACAGAATTATACAGCTGTACATCAGTATTGGTAGGCATTGTTCTTTATTTTCAAAGCTTGAAATTTAAAAGCACAATTATCTATTAGTGTTACTGTCTTGATTTGGCACTAGGTGTCATTGCAATTGCACAAGAAGTTTGGTCGAAGAGGCTGTGTGGCTGGTTGCGATTTTCGCAAACTATGGACGAAACGGATGTAAGCCATACACAAAGCCGGCTAATTCAATTCTCCTGTCATAACACTTGCATTTTGATCCAATCCAAGTAGTCCCAAAATTGTTATACAGTCGAGCCCGCTTATAGTGAACCTGAGCGTGACACTGCATTCGTTCGCTGTATCCTGAAGTTTGTAGTAAATGAAACACACCTATAAGAAAACGTTGCCCGCAAAAAAGCAATTTTTTTACCCAGAAAGCCTGCGATGCACGTGTTCTGAAAAGCAGAAGGAATAAGGGTGGCCTCGAGTTTATTTAAGGGGAGATGCGGGTCTTAGAATGGTGAAAAATGGCCAAAAAGTCAATTTTGAGAAAATGCGATATTTAAAATTTTTAGACCTATAAGCACGTGTCCTCAAATTGTGAATGCTGAATTCGATCAGTAAATGGATTAAAATTGATTATGAAGTCGCCACGGGAGCCGCAAAACAACCCACGGCAGGTCAAATTCGTTCAAACTTCCCGCGCGCGCCGCCGGCGAGGCAGTCGGCCGATCGCCGCCATCTTGGGCTTGTTTTGAAGCTGATTCCTTTGTGCGCATTTTTCCACCCTTCAAAATGGCGTCGCTTAAACAGAACGGCTGCCCTCGCCACTTTTCAGGAGCCCCATTCCGGACCGCTGATTGGCCGGAGCGCGCGCGCACCATGCAAGCCCCCTGTTCCTCGCTTCCCATTGGCTGATGCGGCCAAAGTTGTCCGCGCTTTTTTTTGTATATTGTTTGTCGGCCGTCGGTTCCCGTTCGCGCACGTTGTTTGTCTGCTTCCCGCACGTGCCTGCTCGTGCTACGCGACCGACGCACCGACTTTCCGTCTTTTGCCGGCATGATTGGAGACGCTCGTCTAAAGAAGAAGACACGCCAAGCGTACGGCAAGAGACGGAGGTGCCTGGGAACGCCCGCCAGAAGAAAGCAGCTGACAACCTGCAGCTGATTTCCCCCAATGCCGCCGAAGCGGCGCATTCCAACGACGGTGCGCAGCCGCGGCCGCTTGTGTCCGAAGCGGTGCACTCTCCTGGGCCTTGCAGCAGCACCTCATCGGATTGTGTCATCGTCGGATCGTCATCTTGCACTTCTAGCAGCATCCTAGGCCGCATTGACACGGCGTTTTATTCGGCGGACGAGTTTGCTGAGTGCGCGAGAAATGCAGCGAGCTTGAAGGCATCACTCGCATCACAGTGCGCGACAGAACGTAAGTTCGAGTTACTTGATATTGATCTGGTGGATGGTGGCAAAGAAAACGGGACAGAATTTGTTATTGTTGATCTGGCGGCGATACGCTCGTTATTTGGACTTGTCGCGGGCCCAGAATGCGGTGAAAGAAGCGTCACTATTTCAAAGGCCAAGCAAGAGTACGGGCTGTGTTCGAAGTTCATAGTCACGTGCGGCAGTTGTGACTTTCGCGAAGAGCGTTTTTCGTCCCCACGTATAGCCGACGCCGACCGACGCCAAAATAACCGACGAGACTGACGCCAAAATAAGGCCATTTGAAGTTAATATGCTTGCCATGAAGGCCATCAACAGTATCGGCAAGGGGGCAACGGCTCTGTTGGACTTCTTTGCCGGGATGAATATTTCGCATCGAGGGCTTCACCACAAGAGTTACCAAAGCGACATGAATATAATGAAAGAAGCTTGCTGTGCGACTGCTGCCGAATGCAAAGCGGCGAGCGTTGCTCACGTCAAGAAGCTCTATGCGCAGTTCGGCAATGGGCCCGGAAACGTCGACGTCATTTATGATGGCACCTGGCTTATGCGTGGACATAGCTCGCATATATGTGTTGGCTGCATTGTTAAGATGTATAGTGGCCTCGTGATAGACCATATCGTGCTATCGAACTTTTGCCTGGCTTGTACCACAGGACCCAAGAAAGGGGAAGCAGGACATTCTGCCTGGCTCATTCAGCATGCCCCTTTGTGCCAGAAGAATGTTGGTTGTAATGCTGGCCAGATGGAAGTGGAGGCAGCACTACGCTTGTTTGAGCGGTCACTTGAAAAGCACAAGCTTCGTTATACGACAATGCTGTCGGACGGTGACAGCAGGACATTCCATGCACTCACAGAAAAAGAAGTGCACGGCTTCATAAAGGTGGCCACAAAGGACTGCATAAATCATGTACACAAGCGTATGGGAGCTGTCTTACGTACCCTTGTAGAGAAAAAAGAAGCTCAAGGTGGCTCACTTGGTGGAAAGGGCAGACTAACGCAACAAAAGATAAAGAAGATCACTTCATACTATGGCTACGCCTTGAGAAGCCACAGGAACGATGTTCCAGGTATGCAGAAGGCTGTTCTAGCAACTTTGAACCACATGTCTTCAACTGACGAGGCACCAAAGCATGACCTTTGCCCTGAAGGCCCTGAATCCTAATGAAAATTTCAGAGAGCTCTTACGAAAAATGAGAAGCCGCCACCACACAAGGACAGCCTGCCTGATTTCGTAACTGAGGCATTGGAGCCTGTGTTTAGGCAGCTGAGCGACAATGCCCTCTTGGAAAGGTGCAGCGATGGGATCACCCAAAACCCAAGTGAGAGCCTGCACGCTATGATTTGGCAGCAGGCCCCCAAAACTCAGCATGCATCCTTGCGGAGCATTGAAAGGGCAGTTGCCGAAGCCATCAGCCGCTTCAACCAAGGCACAACCAAGAGCCACGTGGAAATTGTCGAGAAGCTGGGCTACAGCGCTGGCAATAACTTGGTGCGTCGCAGCCTTGAGAAGGACAAGGGCAGGCTGCAAAAATCGCGAAGAGAGCATCTCGACAGCAGTTCAATAAAGGAAAGACTTTCAAAGCGTCACAAGCCAGCAGGGGACTCTGCTTACAGCCCTGGTCTGCTGTAAACAGTCATGATGGCAAATAGTGAGAATTTTCGCAAAAATAAATATTCTTGGTTTTAGACATAAACATTGTGTAAATAGGTATTGTAATTAAACTGAATAAAAGATACAAGATGAAGGTAGTACAGGCTTACGCGCCTACATCCAGCCATGATGACGCTTCAGTTGAAAGCTTCTATGAAGACGTGGAATCGGCAATGAGTAAGGTAAAAACACAGTATACTATAGTGATGGGCGACTTTAATGCAAAGGTAGGGAAGAAGCAGGCTGGAGACCAGGCAGTAGGAGATTATGCCATCGGCACTAGAAACGCCAGAGGAGAGCTAGTAGTAGAATTCGCAGAACGCAATAATTTGCGGATTTTGGATACCTTCTACCGCAAACGAGAAAACCGCAAGTGGACATAGAGGAGCCCTAATGGCGAAAATAAGAACGAAATAGACTTTATAATGACTGCACACCCAGGAATCGTGCAGGATGTGGAAGTGGTTGGCAAGGTACAATGCAGTGACCATAGAATGGTACGGTCTCGAATTCGCCTAGACTTGAAGAAGGAACGACAGAAACTGATACGCAAGAAGCCAATCAATGAGCTAGCACTGAGAAGGAAAGTACAGGAATTCAGAGTGTCGCTGCAGAACAGGTACTCGGCTCTTAGTGAGGAAACCAACCTTAGCGTAGATACAATGAATGATAATCTGACGAGTATCATTACAGAGTGTGCAGTGGAAGTTGGAGGCAGGGTAGTTAGACAGGACACTGGCAAGCTTTCCCAGGAAGCGAAGAACCTAATTAAGAAGCGTCAAAGCATGAAAGTGTCAAGTACAACAGACAAAATAGAACTGGCAGAGCTTTCGAAGCTGATTAAAAGACGTAAAGTATGCGATGTAAGAAGGTATAACATGGAGAGAATTAAACACGCTCTGAAAAACGGAGGAAGTGTCAAAGCAGTGAAGAGGAAACTTGGGATAGGCAAAAGTCGGATGTATGCACTAAGGGACAAAGAAGGCAAAATAACTACCAATATGGGTAAGATAGTTAAAATAGCGGAGAAGTTTTACAGAGATCTGTACAGTAGCGGAGACAACCACAACCTTAATACTGTAAGAACTAGCTGTAACCCAGATGACACCCCACCAGTAATGATAGAAGAAGTCAGAAAAGCTTTGGAGAGCATGCAAAGAGGCAAAGCTGCTGGTGAGAATCAGGTAACATCAGATCTGCTGAAAGATGGAGGACAGATTGTGTTAGAAAAACTAGCCACCCTGTTTACAAGGTGTCTCCTGACGGGAAGGGTACCAGAGTCTTGGAAGAACGCTAACATCATCTTAATACATAAGAAAGGAGATGACAAGGACTTGAAAAATTACAGGCCGATCAGCTTGCTCTCTGTAGCATACAAGCTATTTACAAAGGTAATTGCTAACAGAGTAAAGAAAACATTAGAATTCAATCGACCAAAGGAACAAGCAGGATTTCGAACAGGCTACTCAACAATTGACCACATTCATACTATCAATCAGGTAATAGAGAAATGCTCAGAGTATAACCAACCACTATACATAGCCTTCATAGATTACGAGAAGGCGTTTGATTCAGTAGAAATATCAGCCGTCATGCAGACACTGCA